TGAATCGGTCCTGGGCCTCCCCTAGGACGACAGCCTCGAATGAGTACCTGGCGCGGTGCGTAAACATTGACACAATTGGAAACAAAGGCGGCAGGGCGTGGTGCTTGCCACCCGCCCCCCTCGTGTGCCATACCGGCCTTCATAGGTGCTCGCTAACAGCACATGCCCCAACAATCTGTTACAGCTATGCGGGGGATCATGTTTCGGTGAGCGTGTGTCTATCTGCGAGCGCGATCAGTGGCAGTGTGCGCTTGTGGCCCAGACGTTGTGCCTCTTCGTTTGCGCGCCTCTATTGAGGGTGCGATCTGTACTGGCGAATGTCGATTCGTGTGCAGGGCGGATTCGTGCGTGCGGAGTGCGTTCCGGCGTGGTGCACCTGCACGTGTACGCATCGGCGTGCGCGCGTGACGTGGCGGGTTGGCGTGTGTGTGCGCGTGTGTGTGCGCGTGTGTGCGCACATGCGTGCGCGAGAGAGCGTGTGGGCGAGATGCTTTCGGGTACGTGTGTGAGCGCGCGTGTGCAAATCTGCGGAATGAAAGTGAGAGCCCGTGTTTTCGCGTGTGTGAGCGCGTGCGTGTATCGACTCGGCTTCAAATGAGTACCTGGTAACCATCGCCACTCGGGAGACAAAGGCGGCCGGTTGTGGTGTGGGCCACCCACAATCTCGTGTGCAATTACGCCCTTCATAGGTGCTCGCTATCCACACTTGCTCCCACAGTCTATCCAGGCTTCACGGGGGAGTCTCTGTGCGTGAGCGCGTGTGTTGGTGTCGCAAGAGAGGCCGGGGGGGGGGTGGGAGTTGCGCTTTATTTCGTAGGGAGACCCCTCGCTTCCCTGCGCTCGCTCCCGCTCCCAGACAGCCGCCGTCTCCCGTCGCACCATGGCGAGGCTCGCGTCGTGGCGGAGTCTCCCGGCCGCGCTGCTCCTCGCATCTCTGGGTCTCGTGGCTCCCCCCGCGACGCTCGGCTTCTTCCTTCGGAAGTGCATTCAGGACGCCAGGTTCGAGACGTCCGTGGCGTGCGTGGACGCGCGCATCACGGACGCGCGCGACGCGATCGCTGACCTCCACGGGAGCCCACGGAGCCTAAACCTGTCCCGCAACGAGATCGCTCAGCTCACGTCGGGCGGGTTCAAGAATCTGAGTCGGCTCGTGAACCTGCGGCTCGACAGGAACCGCATCCGCAGCATCCAGCCGGGTGCCTTCGAAGGGCTCAAGAGTCTGCTCAGCCTCAACCTCACGGGGAACGACATCGTCTACCTGGAAGCGGACGCCTTCAAAGGTGCAGAAGGTCTCCTCGAGCTCCTGCTCGCTGGGAACACGCTGAAGGTCGCGCCCGAGCCGTTTCAACTGCTGCGACACCTTGTGAACGTGAGCCTGATGGAGAACTCCCTCTTCGACTTCTCTCGCGTCGTGGAAGCCGTGTCCGGGCTGCCGAGCCTGCGCTCTCTCGACCTCGACGGGAACAACTTCACCGTGCTCAGCGTGAGTCGGGCGAGCATCAGGCTTCCCCGGCGCGTCAGGAGTCTTCACATCGCCGGGTGCGGCGTCCGCAAAATCGCGCTGCCCCGTGACTTCTTCGCGAACGTCGCTTTCCTCGACATGTCCGGCAACAACCTGACGGACTCATCGGGCCTGGCGGCACTCAATCTGAGCAGGGTCGAGGAGGTGTCCTTGGGGGCGAACAATCTCAGCAGCGGCGCCTTGAAGCAGCTGCGCACTCTGTCTCCCACGACGCTACACATGACCAGCGCGGGGCTGAGCGGCACAAGGAGTTTGCGCTCGCTTTGCAACTCGACCTTGGGGCGGCGAGTGAGCACCCTCACGCTGCTCTCAAACGACATACGTGCGTTCACGGACGCCTTCACCTGGTGCCGCGAGCTCGCGAGTCTTGATCTCTCGAGCAACAACCTCAAGTCCATGGGAAAATACGAACTGGTCAACGGTTCCAGCAGCCTGCGTGATCTGACCGTGCAACACAACCACCTCACTTCGCTCGAGTCCTGCTGGAACAGCAACGCAAATACTCTCCGGTGTGCAAATCTTTCTCAGCTCGAGACTCTGTCCCTCGCCTACAACAGGATCACGCATCTGGACGGACACGCGCTAATCCACGCCCCGAATCTGCTCTCTGTTGCCCTTAACTTCAACACGATCGCGAACATCAACCTCACGGCCTTCGCAGGCCTCATCAGGCTTGTGTATCTCCGTCTGGACAACAACCTCATCACAGACATCAGAAAACAATTATTCCACGGTCTGGAAAACTTGGAAACCCTCAACATGAGGAACAATAAGGTAACCACGATCTTCCCGCACACCTTCACGTTTCTGAGACATCTGCAGATTTTGGATCTGGGTGGAAACCGCATCTCTTCGTTGAAACAAAACGCAATGTCCGGACTGCTTCGTCTAAGAAATCTCTACATTGATGGGAACTTCCTCAGGATCATTAATTCCCATATGTTCAATGGGCTGCACTCGCTCCATAACCTCGACTTGGTCCGCAACAGCATTTCATACAAATATCGCAGCCAGAGCAACGCTCCATTCGTGAACCTCACTAACCTCACCACGCTCAAGCTGAGCGCCCAGCAGCCGTACGGGCTGCAGAGCATCCCCGTTGATCTCTTCAAGGGTTTGCGATCGCTCAAGTACCTCTACCTGGCAGGGAACAAGATCTCCTTCCACAACACGCTGCCATTCGACGAACTGGTGAGCCTAAAATACCTGGGCATGCAAGACGTGTGCAGCGGCCTGCAGAATATGAACGCGAACATGTTCCAGAAACTCACGCAGCTCGGGACTCTGGATCTCGGCAACATTGGCATTAACTTCCTCCACAAAAAGCAGTTCCAGAATCAGAGCAACATGCGCGTCCTCTACCTGAGCGCCAACGGAATCAGGGCCATGATCGAGGACGTGATCGCACCCATGAAGGAGCTGCGCTACCTGGACGTGACCTCCAACCCCCTGCAGTGCACGTGCGATAACGCGTGGTTCAAAAACTGGTCGCGGAGCAGCGACGTGCAGGTGGTCGGCCTCTACGGCGTCTCGTGCTCCGGGGACAACGGCGCGGCGGGCAACTCGTCCCGTCTCTTCGTCGACTTCGACGCCTCCGTGTGCTACGAGAAGTGGGGCAGGGTCATGTTCGTGCTCACGCTGCCCTTCTTCTCGCTGCTCACGGCGTGCCCGCTCGTGTTCGTGAAGGCGCGCTGGCACATCCGCTACGGCTACTACATGTTCCGCGCCTGGTTCCGCGAGTACCGGCGTCGTGACGAGGACGCGCGCGCCTACGACTACGACGCCTTCATCTCCTACAACTCCCGCGACGAGGACTGGGTCATGGGCGAGCTGGTGCCGCGGCTGGAGCAGGAGGGGCCCCCGTTCTGCAAGCTGTGCCTGCACCACCGCGACTTCGCACTGGGCAAGTACATCGTGGACAACATCGTGGACGCCATCTACAGGAGCCGCAAGACCGTCTGCGTGATCAGCCGCAGCTACCTGGAGAGCGAGTGGTGTTCGTGGGAGATCCAGATGGCCGCCTACCGCCTCTTCGACGAGCACAAGGACGTGGTCATCATGGTGTTCCTGGAGGACATCCCCGACTACAAGCTCTCCGCCTACCACCGCATGCGCAAGATCATCGGCGACAAGACGTACATCAGCTGGCCCGAGGATGCCGCCGGGAAGGACCTCTTCTGGGCGAAGCTGCGAGCGGCGATCAGGGGACCTGTGGCCATGGAGAACCGCCTCGTGTGACGAGAACCCCCCCATCAAACTAACAGTGGGGGGGAGTGTGCGCTGGGGTGTGGATCATGCGGTGGTGGTTAAGCAGTTTAACGCGCCGCGCTTTGAACCCCGCCACCCAAGTTCGATTCCCACTCACGGCCAACACCAAGTGACGATTATCTGAACCGGTCCTGGGCATCCCCGAGGTCAACTCAGCCTCAAATGAGTACCTGGTGCGATGTGAAAAACATTGCCGCTAGGGAGTAGGGAGAGAAGGGCGGTCGGGCGTGGCGCTGGTCAACCACCCCTCCCCCCCCCCCTTATCGTGCCATGCCGGTCTTTATAGGTGCTCGCTAATTTGTTCAGGCTATACGGGGGATCTTTGTCTTTATATTTGCGGGTGACGTGTCACGAACACACGAAGTCAACAAAGGCATTGCCCCACCCTTTACCGCCATGCTTCATGTAGAGAGGTGCTCGGGGAATATTCTGAAATTGGAGTTGGGGAGAGGGGGCAGATATATGTATGTTTGACTTCTTTCGCACCGTACGTAGCCAACCGTGCTAATCGGAGGTGTGGGGAAGGGCAACAAACTGAACCAAAAAAGCAGTTCTAAAGAAATTAGTTTTCAATCTGGATTGAAAAGTGCCGTGGCTCCATTGGTTTCCTAATATCGGAGGGAAGAGCGTTCCAGACGGCCGCAGAATCGCGTCTGAAAGAAGCGTGTTGCGGTGACCGCCTTATTTCTGCTTGGCTGCCATTCCGTAACCAACCCCATCATCCAATCTCGACGATTGTGCCCTGCCCAAGCCCATTGACTTGTTTTTATTGTCAATGTGATGTCTCCGATATATTTTTTGTTCGATTATTCATTCATTCGTTCCTTCCTGCTGTGTGTCTCAGTGCAATTTAAATGCATGCGTGGCTCCTCTGCTTGTTTAGCCTGTGTGATTAGAATAGCCATCGCATTTAATTAACTCCCGGCAAAATATATACAAAAAAAATCGATTGTTACACATGCATCGATGCTTCTTGATACCGTTGTTGGATCCTGGAAGTGTCTTCACCGCCGTTTTTTTAATCACGCTTTTACTTGAATATTGAACGTCCAGGCGGCGAGAATATGTAGGCGACAAAATTATAAACAGGTTGAAGAGTGAACCGCTGCGATGCTGTGTGATTTATTGCAACACTTGTATTTCCCACACAACTTGCACCGGCTGTAACATCAACACCATCAGCAGACTCCGTCGCAAAAGAGATTAAGCTCTACACGGGATTAGAACAGGGACTATTGGCGTCAATTGAGACTATTCACCGATTGCAGATAAAAATGCGACTCTGTTTCGTGGTCAATTATCTGAAAAACAGTGGCCACCCCAACATCCCGCCTCCCCGAAGGAGGGAAACCCCCGACAAGCCACGCCCAACGTGCCGCGTCCGCTTTACGCGGTCACCTCCCGTCCAGCGGCACACGTGGAAGCAGATTACGTGACTTCTTCTTCGTCCACTGCAAATAATTTCGTCTTCATCCGATTGGTCAAGTCATATAACCTATAATCGGTAGATTATTTAAACGATCGGATATCCGAACTCTTGTGTAACATGAGAAATGGCATGACTGCCACCTGCTGGTGTAACTGCTGTGATGTACAGGACGTAGAGTTAATCATTAAACGCCTGGACGTATCATGGGCGAGTTATTTGAATTACTCATTGTTTTTTTCGGTAAAGTCACGTATGTAGAAATACAATATTAAAACAAAAAACAATCCACTTCAGGTAGCAGCTCACGGCTCACCTGCCCAGGCTCACCTCTTCAAGCTCACACCTGCTCATGCTAATCTGCTGAGGTTCACATCGGATTAAGGTTCACCTGTTCAGGCTCATACCTGTTCAAGCTCACCTGTTCAGGCTCACACCTAATCAGGCTCATCTGTTCAGGTGCATATTTTCTCAGGCTCGCCTGTTCAGGCTCACATCTTAAGGCTTACACCTGCTCAGGCTCACACCTGTTCAGGCTCACACCTTTCCAGACTCTCACCTATCCAGGCTCTGACCTGTTCAGGATAGCTTACAAGGGACGTTGTGCTCTGACTCCGCGACTCCCAAGTTCTCGATCAAAGAATTCGTCTGATTCATGATAGTATATGCTCACTGTAATTTGTGCTTATTATTAAACCACTACTAAGCCATCACTTGACAATTCACCTTTACAGCGATTCAATTAATTGCCATGATTCTGTATTACAGTGACATTGTCGTTACTTCCTATCACGTACACATGTGTTCGCTCAATGCATACATTTCCCACCATTAGTAAATAATTTGTATAAATAGTATGTACCTTGATTGATTCTTGCAAGAATACGTTTACGAGTGCATTTTGAGCATCGTAATCTGTATTTAATGCATTGGCACACGCTACGTTACGTGTCCAGTGGTTATTGTCGTGCGAGAGATTGACACTCAAAGGAAGGCTTATGAGAAAGAGAGCACTCCTTTTGGAGCTACACATCTAGGCTGTGTGCCAGGCTGCGAGTTTGAAGCTTAGCGATTATTTAAAAAAAACAATATTTTAAAAATAAAAGATTGCGGTCAAGAACCCTCGGGCAAAGTCCTCTAGTGTCTGCCCCGTGAATGGGTGCCGAGTGTGTTGTTCTGTCAAGGGTAATATCACTCAAGTGCTGTGAGGACGACGCCGATTGTGGTTTAAAAGTACGTTTCGTCATTGGCGACGCTTCGATCTCATTTCGAAAGGGGGCGGGATAAAATATAACGGAGTAGGTGTGCATCTACAAGATAAAAGCTACTTTTATTTGGGTCAGGCAAGGCCTGAGATGGATTAGAGAGCGGCAGAAACTCTCGTATTCCGCACGCCAGTAAAGTGAGGCCAGGGATGTGGTGATGGGAGACCCAGGGTGTTGGATAACCGTTTGAGTCAGGTGAGGCATTCAAAATTATGAAATGTAAACGGGGTGAAACCATGTGACCAATGATCAAATTTGTATATATTTTACGTTGCATGTGAAAGTGAATTTGGATATGACAAATTACCACCGCCACCGCCACCAATTCTTTACACGATCCCTGCTGCAGGGTCCACCCCGGTTTCTCCTGGGGTCTCGTCACCCGAGGCGGTTCTCCGTGGCCAGAGGTCCCCTGATCGCCGCTCGCAGCTTCGCCCAGAAGAGGTCCTTCCCGGCGGCATCCTCGGGCCAGCTGATGTACGTCTTGTCGCCGATGATCTTGCGCATGCGATGGTAGGCGGAGAGCTTGTAGTCGGGGATGTCCTCCAGGAACACCATGATGACCACGTCCTTGTGCTCGTCGAAGAGGCGGTAGGCGGCCATCTGGATCTCCCACGAACACCACTCGCTCTCCAGGTAGCTGCGGCTGATCACGCAGACGGTCTTGCGGCTCCTGTAGATGGCATCCACGATGTTGTCCACGATGTACTTGCCCAGTGCGAAGTCGCGGTGGTGCAGGCACAGCTTGCAGAACGGGGGCCCCTCCTGCTCCAGCCGCGGCACCAGCTCGCCCATGACCCAGTCCTCGTCGCGGGAGTTGTAGGAGATGAAGGCGTCGTAGTCGTAGGCGCGCGCGTCCTCGTCACGACGCCGGTACTCGCGGAACCAGGCGCGGAACATGTAGTAGCCGTAGCGGATGTGCCAGCGCGCCTTCACGAACACGAGCGGGCACGCCGTGAGCAGCGAGAAGAAGGGCAGCGTGAGCACGAACATGACCCTGCCCCACTTCTCGTAGCACACGGAGGCGTCGAAGTCGACGAAGAGACGGGACGAGTTGCCCGCCGCGCCGTTGTCCCCGGAGCACGAGACGCCGTAGAGGCCGACCACCTGCACGTCGCTGCTCCGCGACCATATCTTGAACCACGCGTTATCGCACGTGCACTGCAGGGGGTTGGAGGTCACGTCCAGGTAGCGCAGCTCCTTCATGGGTGCGATCACGTCCTCGATCATGGCCCTCATTCCGTTGGCGCTCAGGTAGAGGACACGGATGTTGCTCTGATTCTGGAACTGTTTTTTGTTCAGGAAGTTGATGCCAATGTTGCCCAGGTCCAGAGTCCTGAGCTGCGTGAGTTTTTGGAACATGTTCGCATTTATATTCTGCAGGCCACTGCACATGTCTTGCATGCCCAGGTATTTTAGGCTCACCAGTTTGTCGAATGGCAGCGTGTGGTGGAAGGAGATCTTGTTCCCTGTCAGATAAAGATACTTGAGCGATCGCAAACCCTTGAAGAGATCTACGGGGATGCTCTGCAGTCCGTACGGCTGCTGGGCGCTCAGCTTGAGCGTGGTGAGGTTAGTGAGGTTCACGAATGGAGAGTTGCTCTGGCGGCGATATTTGTATGAAATGCTGTTGCGGACCAAGTCGAGGTTATGCAGCGAGTGCAGCCCATTGAACATATGGGAATCAATGATCCTGAGGAAGTTCCTATCAAGGTAGAGATTCCTCAGAGAATACAGTCTGGACATTGCATTGTGCATTAACGAAGAGATGTGGTTTCCACCCAGATCCAAAATCTGAAGATGTCTCAGAAACGTGAAGGTGTGCGGGAAGATCGTGGTTACCTTATTGTTCCTCATGTTGAGGGTTTCCAAGTTTTCCAGACCGTGGAATACTTGTTTTCTGATGTCTGTGATGAGGTTGTTGTCCAGACGGAGATACACAAGCCTGATGAGGCCTGCGAAGGCCGTGAAGTTGATGTTCGCGATCGTGTTGAAGTTAAGGGCAAGAGAGAGCAGATTCGGGGCGTGGATTAGCGCGTGTCCGTCCAGATGCGTGATCCTGTTGTAGGCGAGGGACAGAGTCTCGAGCTGAGAAAGATTGGCACACCGCAGAGTATTTGCGTTGCTGTTCCAGCAGGACTCGAGCGAAGTGAGGTGGTTGTGTTGCACGGTCAGATCGCGCAGGCTGCTGGAACCGTTGACCAGTTCGTATTTCCCCATGGACTTGAGGTTGTTGCTCGAGAGGTCAAGACTCGCGAGCTCACGGCACCAGGTGAAGGCGTCCGTGAACGCACGTATGTCGTTTGAGAGCAGCGTGAGGGTGCTCAATCGCCGCCCCAAGGTCGAGTTGCAAAGCGAGCGCAAACTCCTTGTGCCGCTCAGCCCCGCGCTGGTCATGTGTAGCGTCGTGGGAGACAGAGTGCGCAGCTGCTTCAAGGCGCCGCTGCTGAGATTGTTCGCCCCCAAGGACACCTCCTCGACCCTGCTCAGATTGAGTGCCGCCAGGCCCGATGAGTCCGTCAGGTTGTTGCCGGACATGTCGAGGTAAGCGACGTTCGCGAAGAAGTCACCGGGCAGCGCGATTTTGCGGACGCCGCACCCGGCGATGTGAAGGCTCCTGACGCGCCGGGGGAGCCTGATGCTCGCCCGACTCACGCTGAGCACGGTGAAGTTGTTCCTGTCGAGGTCGAGAGAGCGCAGGCTCGGCAGCCCGGACACGGCTTCCACGACGCGAGAGAAGTCGCAGAGGGAGTTCTCCATCAGGCTCACGTTCACAAGGTGTCGCAGCAGTTGAAACGGCTCGGGCGCGACCTTCAGCGTGTTCCCAGCGAGCAGGAGCTCGAGGAGACCTTCTGCACCTTTGAAGGCGTCCGCTTCCAGGTACGCGATGTCGTTCCCCGTGAGGTTGAGGCTGAGCAGACTCTTGAGCCCTTCGAAGGCACCCGGCTGGATGCTGCGGATGCGGTTCCTGTCGAGCCGCAGGTTCACGAGCCGACTCAGATTCTTGAACCCGCCCGACGTGAGCTGAGCGATCTCGTTGCGGGACAGGTTTAGGCTCCGTGGGCTCCCGTGGAGGTCAGCGATCGCGTCGCGCGCGTCCGTGATGCGCGCGTCCACGCACGCCACGGACGTCTCGAACCTGGCGTCCTGAATGCACTTCCGAAGGAAGAAGCCGAGCGTCGCGGGGGGAGCCACGAGACCCAGAGATGCGAGGAGCAGCGCGGCCGGGAGACTCCGCCACGACGCGAGCCTCGCCATGGTGCGACGGGAGAGGGCGGCTGTCTGGGAGCGGGAGCGAGCGCAGGGAAGCGAGGGGTCTCCCTACGAAATGAAGCGCAACTCGCACCCCCCCCCCCCCCGGCCTCTCTTGCGACACCAACACACGCGCTCACGCACAGAGACTCCCCCGTGAAGCCTCGATAGACTGTGGGAGCAAGTGTGGATAGCGAGCACCTATGAAGGGCGTAATTGCACACGAGGTTGTAGGTGGCCAACACCACAACCGGCCGCCTTTGTCCCGAGTGGCGATGGTTACCAGGTACTCATTTGAAGCCGAGTCGATACACGCGCTCACACACTCAAAACACGCGCTCACGCGCACAGAGACCCCCCCCCCCCCCCCGCGAAACCGCGATAGACTGTGCGAGCAAGTGCTGATAGCGAGCACCTATGAGAGGCGAGGGCAGCTGCCCCTCGCCATGGCGTGAGGGGAGACGGCAGCTTCTTGGGGGCGAGCGCAGGGAAGTGAGGGTCTCTACTGCTGCCCCCCCACCTCCATGTTTCCCTTGAAGCGTAACTCGTTTCCCACTCTCTTGCGACACTCACGCACACGCGCTCACAAGGCACACACCCACATACGTTGACCTCTATGTCCTCAAAGGAGGAACCGGGGAAGAACCCGTTGTTTCCCTGCAACCGAAAATAACGAGAGGTCTTATTGTCGTTCTCTTGTCGCAATACTTTTGTGCTCGGAGGACGAAAAGTAACCTGCTTTTTAATGTCAATGAAATGGCCAAATAATATTTGTTGTAAAGTGTGCCGCTTCATATTCTCTACGATGTGAAGAATATCCTGGTGTAACTAAGTACAATTAATTGGAGCACCAACTTTATAAAAGTTATAACGATGTAAAATGAACCGCGTCAGCCTTCTGTGTTCGTTGCTCCCACCTCTTCGGTGTCGCGATGGAGTGAAAGATGGCAGCCTTCACGCGGCCCACTCCGCTAAGTGAGAAACCGGGACAAATTCTATCAACACGGCGACCGAGCAGCAATCATAGATCTCCGAGCTCCCAGTCTCCAGAGTAACAACAACACAAGCCACGCTTACGGCCCTCTTCAGAACCAAGCGACAACGCGCCAGATAGGCCCTGGGACAAGGATCCTCCGGGCGAAGTGCAAGTATCTCGCGAACACAATAAAAATACGTAACATTGATGTCCTCACGCCCCAAGAAACCTACGTCTTGGATGCCATACATGCCAGCCGCTACCACATCCATGGATACAACCTCACGACGAGCCACTACCACGTGAACTATGTCTTGGCCATATACGTGAAGAACACCACCACGTAGTTCTACGCCTTCCCACCAACTGAAAAAGAAGCCACCTCCACCACCAACATCAAGATAGGGGAACCGCACATCGCCAACGTTTGTACAAAGCTCCGAATTCCAAATGGCCAAAGTCAGCGGATTCCAAGTGCACCAATCACAGTCCTATCTACGTTGGTGACGTTAACAGCCACCATAATAATATCCGAGGCTATTCAGTAGATCAAGCACACGGCAAAAACCTGACTGACTGGATGTCCGCCGAAGATCTGCACCTGGTTTACAATCCCAAGCAGCAAACCAACTTTCCACTCTGCTCGCTGGCAACGCAACTACAACCCGGATCTCACCATAATTTCCACAGATCAAAGTGGGGAGCACACTTCACGCATCACGCGATATACTCCCAAGCTTCCCAAAAGTCAACATAGGCCCATCATCACTCACATCGGCATCGTAATTCCTGTGATTACTAAGAATTAACCTGGCCAGAGCTGACTGGGACCACTATAAGGAGGCTGTAGAAAGAGTGGCGAGTCGAATTCCCGCGAAACAGGAATGTTATGACGGTTTTATTTTGCTTGAAAATCGAGAAAAACAGTCGCCTTCCGATTTATTAAGGACCTCAGTAACGTCCCTTGTCGCTTAAAGTAACGCCAAACCCTTTTGGACCCATGCACTTAATCTTGAACAATGAGAATTAAACCCCGATGAAGCCTCGGAAGCTGAATGGAGCTCAAAAGAACTTACAAACAAACAAACACCTTGTGACAGACCCAACGTAGACGATCCCTGGGTTTGATCTTCCACGAAGCTCACGGTCCACCCTCAACCGCATCTGCATAAACTATGGCAGACGCGGATACCTGATGCACGAATGGAAGATTAAAAACTCTCCAGTCGCACACTGTGGTCACCCAGAACCGAGACCGTACAACGTGTAACGACGCAACGCCCGATTCACAGATACGAAGGAGACATCAGGGGCGATACGCTCGGCTGCTCCTGACGCGGTTGTCTGGATTGATCACCTCATTGTAATATTGTAGTTGATGCTCTGCGTCAACGTCCGCCGATCGTATGTTTTCCGAACTTCTTCTTCCGCCATTGCAGTTCATTGTGTATTTGTCACATGGGATATCCCGTTTAGCCAAGTTACCCAGCTAGTTTCGGTAGCAATGGCCCGCAGCGACCACGAACAACAGAGTTGCCGTTGGGAGTGCACAGGAGCCTAGCCAGCAGCCAGCCAGGATGCTCGAGGCATCGATTATTTTTAATCAGTTCAGTTTATTTTGAAATGCAGTGTGAGCCAAGAAGCTCATTAATCGGATATCGTCAACAAAAACAACACCGCCGCTTCTCCAACAAACGCAACAAGTTACAGTAAAGAAAAACATGATTAATCAATAACAGATGAGAGAAAAATAGCTAGCAAGGCAATCTCAATGTTACAATTCTCTTTAAAAAAATAAATTAATTAAGTTAAATATAGATTATCACCAAAATGCCACGCTTTATCTCTAAAATATACTAATTTCAATCTCACATAATAGTACGATTATCAACTTCAATAATACAACAGGCCAGAACAACGAATGCTCCACGGCGTCGCATTATCCTGGACTCGGTCGTGGGTGTTGCAATTCCTGGGTGCTGGGGGAGAGTGAGCGGGGAGTGGGGGGTGGCGGTAGGAACTGGTAAAGAGAAGTGGCAATAGTCGTGTTCCTACGAGTCCCCAGTGGAGTAAAAACACGTTCAGAGTTCAGTGACTCATATCGAACATCATTCGTGGAACTTCAGACTAAAGTGGAGGGGCGTAGAGGTCAAGGGGGCAAAAGGGAGATCGTATGAAACGATACTTATTGTGAGCCTCCATTGTTCCAAGGACGTTAAGCAGAACGTATTTTGGGTCCCGAATTCCGTAGAAGTCAGGCTATGCACGCCTTATAATCCAGTCCTATGGGGGGCGGCCAGGGTTGGTGGATAACAAACATTTTAGGAAACTCTCTGTAGGCGTCGAGGATGTGGCCATGCCCTTGCTTGGCAGGAGGATACGGTACAGCCAAAAAGTTGGACGAATATGATGTGTCCCTTCTGTGTGGGATACAGTGTTGCCCCCTCGACAGCGTGGGTTTGCTCTGGTTGCTCCGGCTTGCTCCCAACATGTATAAACACTCATTAATTGTCTGAAAACATCTTGATATGTAGAGGACTGCGGAGCTCGAGAAATCGTTGGAAGCGCCGGCTCACCGCGTGGCTGCTGGCTTCCGGTCTGTCGGTGGTTCCTGAGCGAATGCGAGACGTAATTTGCACGAACGACAAAGCAATACATAAAACTAAACAGTACAGCGCTATTAGATTACCGGTGTAATTGTGTGTAATTTGACGGATTCACAGACATTTAATGTAATGAAAAAGACACAAATTTAAAGATTGTATTTAATTTATTGAATTAAAAAAAATCCTCGATACATCTCATTGGCTATAAATTGAAGATCATCTCACAAACGTTTTCCTTGAGATGAAGTTTGTTGAATCGGCACTTTGATGTTGATTGGATTTTTACATCTTGACAAAGCAACAAAATAAGGTTGTCCATGGAAGAAAAAAAACAGGTTCGTTGAGATAAAGGCCAACACGCTCAAAACGTTTGTCCTTGCGACTTATTTACAGCGATAGCAAAATGCAGTAATGATTGGAAACTGTCTTTGCTTCAAAATAAATGGTAAATTCACATCAGACGGTGCCAGATCCAATTCTGGGAATGAAGACGATCTCCACGATTGGATTCTGAAATTATTTCAGCCACAACACGAATCACGGTGCATTTCACGAATTACCACGCTGTGTGCCATTGCAAAAATCATTTTTTTGAGGGGGTTGAGATTTCGAATGGGCGATTACAATGGTTCCTTTTTTTCAAAAACAATTTATGAGGTGGCCATTCCCAGATGGTGTTAGCGGCGTGGGTGCAAGACAGTCTACTGATTTGTGACGTCACTCGGATCCACGTCGCCCTACCCAGCGTTACACAGCGAACAGTGTCAGGCGTGAGGCACAGATCACCAACACGACATGGACAATATAAAATAGAAGGGCCTCCGTGTTTTCATCCATGCTGATGAGCGAGTCGGACTGTCGACTCGCTCATCAGCATGGAGGGGTCCCTTACTGCACGTGGCCTTAACGTGCACATAGCCTGGCACAAGTGCCGTGGTGGTTACGCCATAGACACTCAGTGGCGAATGGCGGTTGTTGTCATCATGGCGTGTATATATTTTCCACGACCAGAATAACTTGAATAATTTTAAAAAAAGTACCTTAGAACATTTTTCAACTACCATTAAAAAAAAATTACCGAGAGAATACTACCAAAGTTGTTATTTGGTGAAACTACGTCGGCAGTGGTGCACAAGCACAACTAGCAAAAAACTGCGCAACGCATTCGTCAATAGGAATCTGGTGTTCGCCCTTCATCACGTCACATCGAGAGACCAGAGCGGTGGAGCGAGTTCATAGGTCGTGACCCAGGTTCGTAGCGCAGTCAGCAAACCGCTGCGCTACCGTTCTCCCTAAAGCAAACGTTATCACAGGTTAAGCATATTCTCAATCACTTATTAAAGATCTATAAATGTTTAAATATTGATGTTCTGTTAGGGAAATCCTCCACAATACCGTACAAAGAAATTCACTATTGGGTCACGCTGCGTTGGCAGTCGCGTGCATACCCACCACCATAGACAAAGATCCCCCGTAAAGCCTTAACAGACTGTTGGGGCGAGTGCTGTGAGCGAGCCGGCACGGCACATGAGGGGGATGGGCGGCCAGCACCACGCCCGGCCGCCTTTGTCTCCCTAGTAGCGATATTTACACACCGCACCAGGTACTCATTTGATGCTGCGTCGACCATGGGGAGGCCCAGGACCGGGTCAGATAATAATCATTACTGGTGTTGGCCTTGAGCGAGCATCGGATGACCGTGTTCGTAGCGCGGCGTGCTAACCACTGCGCCACCGATCCCCACAGATAACCACCACACACACACACAGGCAGCAGGTGGATGGGGAAGACCGCCGTTGTATATCGGAGCACTGCTGCGTGCAAATCTATTTTAAACGCTGCAGTCCCCAATCCTCTGTTCGACCTCGGTCACTCCTTTGTAACGTCCATAGGAAAAAAAGACACACTGCGTGTAATCACTCTGGCGGTCTGCAACCTCTGAGCGGGATCAGTGGAGCACAGTGATCAGTGGAGGGCAGGGATCAGTGGAGCGCAGGGATCAGTGGAGGGCAGGGATCAGTGGAGCGCAGGGATCAGTGGAGCGCAGGGATCAGTGGAGGACAGGGATCAGTGGAGGACAGGGATCAGTGGTGGGCAGGGATCAGTGGAGCACAGGGATCAGTGGAGCGCAGGGATCAATGGAGCGTAGGGATCAGTGGAGGGCAGGGATCAGTGGAGGGCAGGGATCAGTGGAGGACAGGGATCAGTGGAGGGCAGGGATCAGTGGAGCGCAGGGATCAGTGGAGGGCAGGGATCAGTGGAGCGCAGGGATCAGTGGAGCGCAGGGATCAGTGGAGCGCAGGGATCAGTGGGGCGCAGGGATCAGTGGAGCGCAGGGATCAATGGAGCGCAGGGATCAGTGGAGGACAGGGATCAGTGGAGGGCAGAGATCAGTGGAGGACAGGGATCAGTGGAGGGCAGGGATCAGTGGAGGACAGGGATCAGTGGAGCGCAGGGATCAGTGGAGCGCAGGGATCAGTGGAGCGCAGGGATCAGTGGGGCGCAGGGATCAGTGGAGCGCAGGGATCAGTGGGGCGCAGGGATCAGTGGAGCGCAGGGATCAGTGGAGCGCAGGGATCAGTGGAGCGCAGGGATCAGTGGAGCGCAGGGATCAGCAAACATGCGCCTGCGGGAGCCACATGCGGCTCTCTCATGGCTTCTTCGTGACGTTACTTACCAAGAGCCGTCTCGTATTCACACGCACTGCGACTCTTCACTTTTACTGCAGGCTTGCACCCCTTTGGTTCACAATCGCAAAAAAAAACTAAATTATTAATACATAGGGGTTTGATGAAACAAAGTAATTTGTCTTTTGATGATTTACCTGCTGATTAAAACCCTGGCAATGTCTCGCACCCCCCCTCCCCGCCAGAAAAGGAATCCGAAAAAAAAGTATCTTGTTATTTAGCTTGGCAACCCCTGGTGTAGGGGAAGGTACGGGCGCGGGGGGGAGTGAAATTATTTTTGTGCCCCCCCCTCACCCACAATTGTATTCCAGCTGTGCCACTGCCACTGACGTCAACAAATGTCCCCCCACCCTCTACCCCTCCTCGTGAGCGCCACTCTCTGAAGCCGCCTCCCCCACCGGGCCAGGGGGCCACGAGAAGCGTGCTCGCCCTCCTTGAGGCGCTGGTGGGATTTCTGCCATGCCTGACCGCAGGTTACATTCTCTAGTCGTGTGGACTGGGGGTGTCTTCCCCCCCCCCCAAAAAAAAAAACTACGAGTTGGGGCCCACTTGACAAGCACTATGAGAATTGTTTAATGTTCGAGACCGTGAGCGTAATGTTGCGACGACGTGATATACAATATCCAAGGTGCGAGCGTGCGAGACTCATTAAATATTGGGGCCCAACCTGACCAATTGCCGCACCCCCCCCCAACCCCCGAGCTGATAATATAGTTACTACGCCATTGATTCTCCATCTTACATTCCGAAAGATTCACCTCTTCTGATTATTCGCTACCTGAACCCTCCCACCATCCTTCAACTCCCAGCTCTGTCGGTCTGACCGTCCGCCAAAATCAAACCTCACGCCCGACTTTACTGGCGTCACCTCGGCACCCGGTCTCTCCGCGCTCAACATTCTGCCCGAGGCGACTTACGCCAAGGGGAGGCTACGATTCAACATTGATTGATGTTCGTGCAGTTGTGTTTGTACCGATTTCGACTTGCTTCAATGCTGCCCTTTATTTTGCTTGCTTTGATTGACATTTTAGTAACCCAGGTCACTCTTACAAATAAAGCAAAAAACTTCATCACATTCATCGATAACACTGACAAAAAATATAAAAAGCGACGTTTCGGGCATGGCTCTTTTTCGTAGAATATAGTAGAGGCCAAAGAAGTGAGGCCAGAATGAGGAATCAAATCACCTTTCTCTTTCTGCTGTAAACCATTGCCCTAAACGTCGCCTCGTATATATATATTTTTAATTTTAAGACCACAGTGTTATTGACGAATGTGGTGACGTGCCCCTGCTGGACATCTGTGAAAAATAGCTTTATAGTTTATCGGTTTTGGGGGGGAGTGGGGGCGGTGGGTGTTGGGGGGGGGGAGTGGTGTGGATGGTGGGGGGTGGTGGGTGGGTGGTGTAGGTGGTGGGGGTGGTGGTGGGTGGGGTGGTGGGGAGTGGTGGGTGGGGGGGTGGAGGGTTGGTGGTGCTTCTCCTGCATTGCGTTGTTCTTCGCGAGTGGTTTTGCTTCGTGTGGAAGGAAACGCGGAGCACGCCGAGAAAAGGCACCGCCCGCACAGGGGGGGATAACAACTCCCGAAGGTCCACACAGAGCCCACTTTGCCGTGCTGCCATCTCCTGGCCACCGCACAGAGCCAGCACGAACGGGAAGTTTCATTCATACGGCAGCTCCTAAAGCAGCGGTTCTTTCTTAACCCGGGGTGCACGCATCCCCTGGGGGTGCGAGACATGGACAGGTTTTTTTTTTTCAGCAAGTAATTCATCCGAGCACAAATTAAGCACGGGCAAGTAAGTACAACTGCTTTGTTTCATCAAACCCCTATGTATTTATTAACACTGTACAATTGTTTTACGATTGGAACAAAGGGGTGCGAGGCTGCAGTGAAAGTAAAGAACCACTGCTCTCAAGTGAAAACTCAACACAGGCTCGAATGTGGAAAGCGTCGGGTTTATTCTGACTCCCCACCCCCCTCCTTTGGAGACTCAAGGTGATGGGGAGGGGGGCTCAGTGGTATGGAAAGGGTTGGTGTGGGATTGGAAGGGGGGTCTCGTGCACCCCAACACATTTGTAGTCCATCTACACCCCCCCCCCACACACACACACACAAGACGATCCCTTTTAAAAATATTTGCAATTCCGCAACGACAAAATCCCGACATTTTACAAAAACAAAATGTACATTCCTTGAACCACGTGTACGAAGTGCACAGCTACCCGTAACGCAGTGCATTAGCCTAACATGACTGGCGAGTGGTTTGATTTTTATTTACTTGCTTGCCCCCACTCATTCTGCCGTCATACCGACCTCGTTAATCTCATTCGCGCTTCCAATTCCACGAGGGTCGGTGAACCGGCGAGAAAATATGCAGGGCACCGAACTGCAAAGTTTTTACGTACAACTCTCCCCCCATCCCCCACTCGCCACCCCCTCCCTCCCCCCACCGAAATACAGCATCTTGCGTCGGTCTTCCAGACACGACCGGAAGTGTCGAGGAGTGGAAGAGACGAAATCCCTGTAAGCACCAGCAGCAGCAGCAGCTGCATCCAACGCGAACACAAGCCCGCTCGCTCACGTTCCTGAACGTTGGGTGTCCGTGGTTCGGGCTTCGGGCTGGTGCCTTAGTTCTGACCGCTTGAGCCGCCCATCCGACAGCCCAGGCCGCAGGCGTCTCACTGCGCTGCGGTCATCCATCGTCCACGCGGCCGGGAATGCCGTCGGCACACAACGGGAGCCGTGCGTGACGTCACGTGACTCCGGGGGGGGGGGGGTACTGGGGATTCCACTGGTGACATTTAAGTGACCGTCACTACCTCCAGCGCTGAAGGGAAGATGCAGCCCCCCCCCACCCCAACTCCTCCCTTTCCAAAACACAAACCACTCTGATCTTGTGGATGCACACCTGTGCTGCGCGTCCAGGGCTGTCACATACGCAGCAAGATACTTTTTTTAATTCGATAAAAACTATGAAGTTACGATCAAGAGAACCATCATGGTGCTCCGTTCACCGTCACGGTAATGTCTCTTTCGTACATTATACGTCGGCAAGTACCATTCAGTTCAATTCAGCAATGGATTAATTCTGTCTGGAGGGTCCTCTCTCATTTGTATTGTTTGTGGTTTGCTCCCTCTTGCTTTTAAAGTTTTGTGCACACCATAAAAGCATATATAATATCGGCAGGTAGCGCAGACGCACAATTTGCGTGAATAGTAAACGATTAAGGAGGACGAACGCTTCGACGCGTGCGCCGTCAGTTTGCGAATCGATTCCAATGCACGAATCGTCGCACGCCTGGGTCTCAACTCCTCAGAGCGGTGACGTCGTCAGTGAACTCACGCGGAACGCCCGCCCCCCCCCATTTTAAAAGTCGTCGCGTCTCTCCCACCCACAAAACTTCAAGCTCGTGCCACGCAGCACGGGACACACGGAGTGCGTCTACAAGAGCCGGTCGTGACCTCGGATTCCCCCGTTCGACTCCAGGTCGGCGGTGCCGGAGTGGCCACCCGGCGCGCCGCGCACTCAGGGCTTGACCTCCAGGATGGAGGGGTTGGTCTCGAGGATGGCGAGGATGACGCGGTCCATGTACTGCCGCAGCTGGTCGTTGATCTCCTCGACTTCGTGCAGTGCCGCCACCACCTGCGGAAGACGGCGGGGGGGGGGGTGGTGGTGGTGGTGGGGGGGTAACAGCCACGCATCTCACCGTGAGCGGTGGGACAGCTTTGATTTACTCGCAGACTCAGTCCAGTCGACAACGGCCTGTGGAATTTCAGTCGAGGCCAGGTCTATGCATTTCACATCGCTATTCTCTTAGTCTAGTCGCCGAACGCTCTCAGTTGGTAAATACTGGCGTGTGAGATGCAACATTTTACCAAAAAGTTGTATCAGGTCAGCCAATCAGTAAATTCAGTACAGTATATATATTGTGTGTGTGTATAGCCAATTATAATGTTGGTCTTCCTCAGTGCACTGTAGTGTCTAATAAAATAATGAAATTATCTTAGTCTGTGTCTTCATTCAGGCTTGTTACATTTCATATCACCACGGTGAGTCATGCTCTGGTCTTTGGTGGCGAGTTGCAATAATTGCCAGGATGATGAGGGAGTTAATGGGCAAGCGACAATCGTTTAACGAGTTTTCGCCTACCGAGCAGTTTTCGCGGAAAGCAGCTCGCTCGTTAAGAGATACGCCTGTAAGATGTTATGTTTTGCTGAAAGGAGATGATGCGCTTAGCGAGTGCTGTCCATGGTTCTGAATCTCTATAGGCGAGCGCTGCTATTGTTTCTGCCTATAGAAGGACACTGTACTTGGTCCTGAATCTACATAGGATGGCGCTGTCCATGGTGCAGAATCTTTATATGAGGGCGCAGTCCATGGTTCTAAATCTATAGGATGGCGCTCTCCATGGTTCGGAATTTTTTCTATGAGGTCGCTGTTCATGGTGCTGAATCTCTATATAATGGCGCTGACCATGGTGCTGAATCTTTATCGGAGAGCGCTGTCATTGGTGCTGAAGCTCTATTGGCCGGTGCTGTTCTTGGTGTTTGCTGCTTGGAACAAAGTGTGCACCATCAAGGTGCTGTGAATGTTGGTGTAGCTATTCAATGGTGCGCTAGTGTGCTGTGCTTGTGCCAGCGCACTGTGCTGGTGCTCGCTCGCCTCTTCGTGAGTAGCACCGTCAGGGTTGCTCGCCAGCGCCTGTGAGCGCGTGGGCACTGACAAGAGGCTCTTGGCTCCCTGCAGACTCGTGCTGATGATTTGTCCGCTCAGGTCCTCGTTCTGCTCCTGCAGACGCTGGCGTTCCTGCCACGTGTGCCACAGGATGCCAACAATGATGCACGGGTGGGTGGATGGGTGGATGAGAGGGTGGGCTGATGATAGAGAGAGATCGAGAACATAGGTGAGTGAGACGGTGGGTTGGTAGGTAGGTGAGTGGGTACAGGTGGATGGGCCAATGAGTGTGTTGGTGTTTGTGTGATTGAGTAAGGGAACAATTGGAGGTTGGGTGAGGGGGTGGGCTGGTGAATGAGTGAGTGGGTGAGAGTGTTGTAGGCAATTTAGTGGGTGAGAGTGTAAGTGATAAAGTGGGTGAGAGGGTGGTTAATTTATCAGGATGGGAAGTTGAGCGAGTGACATGGTAGGTAGTTTGGTGGGTAAGAGGCACGTTCGGTAGCTCGGAGGTAAGATGTGTTTTGGTGGGAAGGCGTGTGGGAAGGTGTATGGGCCGTTTGGTGGGTTGATAAGGTGGGTAGGTGGTCTAATGGATGACAGGGTGGGTAATAAGGTAGATGAGTGGGTGTGTGAGAGAGTAGGTGGGTGAGCGAGTGGGTGAGAGGGTGGATGAGAGTTGAGGTGGGCGACAGCATGGGTTGGCGGTCGAGTTGGTGATGACGTAGGCAAGTGGTGTGAGAGGGTGGTCATGCCAGGTGCGCAATACCATCGCCGGCGGGGTCTCACCTGCCGAAGGCGCCGCACTTCGTGCTCCAGCTCCACCTCGCGGGTACGCGCCTGGTACTCCTGCAGGCCCGTGCTGGATCCGAGCCTCCTGCGCGCTCCTCCCAGCGCCGTGCCCCGCTCTGCCTCCAGCCGCAGCAGCTGCAGCCCCTCCAGCTCCCGCCGCAGCTCCTCGATCAGCTGCGTGGACGTGGGCAAGAGCGGCGTGAGACGCGTGCGTGAGCGGGCGTGCGTCGTCAGCGCGTGCGGCTGTCGCGTCGAGAACGCGCGCGGTCACTCGTCGCTTTGGATAACAGCTGCGATGTCACAAACCTTCCTCTGACTTGAACCCTATCCTTGACCCGTATCTGTGCCCATGCCCTACTGCTACCCGAGGTCTATTGGTGCCCGAGCCCTACTGGTGTCCATGCCCTACTGGCACCGTACTGTTTCCCGCACCCTACCGCTGCATGCGCCCTACCATTGCCCGTGCCCTACTGGTGTCCATGCCCTGTTGCATGTCCGTGCCCTACTGGTGCCCGTGCCCAAATGGTGCGCTGCGTGCCTCGTGTGTGGCCACGTGCTCGTGCTGGAAGCGCTGCTCGTCCTGCCGCAGTTTGTCGGCGAGCGTGCGGCCGAGCGTCACCTCCTCGGACAGACGGCACACGGACTCCTCCAGCCGCTCCGCCAGTGCCTCCTTCTCCTGCACGGGGATGCGCGCACACACAGCAAGAAGAGCATTTGGTGTGTGCATTGAGAGCGGTGAACACGGTGTGTGCAGGCCAGGCTGTGCTCACTTATGTGTACGTGTATTAGTGCGCGCGAGTGAGTGCGAGTAAGCGCGTGCATTGTGAGTGCGAGTGTGCATGTAAGCGCATGTGTGCATGTGCATGTGTGCATGTGCATAAGTGCATGTGAGTGTGTGTGGGGGGAGCGGTAGTCTAGCAAGTTAGCATGCTATGCTACGAACTCAGCGACCTGAGTTCAAATTCCGCTCATGGCAAATGAAACGCTCCGTGGGCCACCCCTAGGTCGACTCAGCCTCAATAACTGGTGCAATGTATAAACATTGCCATTTGAGAGACAAAGGCGGTTGGGAGTGGTGCTGGCCATCCACCTGCTCGTGTGCCGTGCCGGCTTTCATGTGCGCTCGCGAACAGCACTTGCCCGCAAAAATTTGTCAAGGCTCTACGGGGAATCCTTTTTTGTGAGTGTGTGCATGAGTGCGTGTGAACTTGTGTGCGTGCGTGAGTGCATGCTCACCTCCGTCAGTCTGTGTGCCAGTGTTTTCAGATGCGCGACGGTCGCTTTCAGAGCAGAACCCTCTTCTTCCACCTGCAGTAGCCTGCGATAGCAAGGCGAGAGCGAGGCTGAGTCAGTGCGTGAGTCGTCATCATTGGCAGCTGCTGTAGGCTTAGTGTAAGGGTGAGCGAGAGGGGGAGTGTGCCATCATCCTCAACGACTGCCTTAGCCTAGAAGGACGATGTACATATGTATGTTGAACTTCTTTCGCACTGTACGTAGCCAACCGTGCTCATCGGAGGTGCCGGGGAAGGAGGGTGAGCGAGGTCGTGAAATAGTGAATCATCATCATCATCGTCATCATCCTCATCATTGTCTTCAACTGCTGTAGCATAGGACAGCGGTGAGGATGAGTTAGCGAGCGAGCGAGCCACGCACCGCGCCCGCAGTGCCTCCAGCTCCGACAGCTTGTGGCGCTCCACCCTGGCGAGCACCTCCTGGTGGCGGAGTGACACCTCGTGCGAGCGCAGCTCCGAGCGCACCTCCGTCTCCCGCAGACGATCCTCCAGCTCGTTTATCCTGCGCACGCACGCGACCCGCCGCAACACAAAACACGTTCTTCTCCCGACGCTCTCCGACCGCGTGTTCGAGGTGTGCCGCGGCAACTCGTACAGAGCGGGAGCGTCGTTGAAGCTTTGTCGCGGAGGTTCGCGGTTCAAGCTCTGCGGCCGCCCTGGTTAATACGGTACATACCCGTTCAACACGCTACGTTTTTTCGCATGAACGCGGTTTTTATTTTATGGAACTTTTTCGCCCGACACGCACCACGCCCGCTATAACGTGAGTCTAGCACGTGACGGACTACTGACTACAACACGAGTCTAGCACGTGACGGACTACTTTTTTGAGCAGCGTGGGTGTTGGCAGCGTTGTTCGGTGATGCTGGGAGCTGGCACTGCAGTACTTTAGTACTGGTACGTTAGTCCTGATGCGAGCTGTGTTACACCGAGTGTCTTCCTCTTCCCCAGTCTGTGTTCCGGCAGCATCTTTTGTGTGCATAGCGTCAATCTCACTCCCTCAACTCTATCACTCGCCACATCTCTCAAACACTTCATACTTAAATAAACGACCGTAGCATGTGAATAGAAATACCGTATAAACACAACACAGTGAAAAAGTAACATGCCAAACAGTGTACCGTACTGTCATATAGAAACGAAAATAAAATTACGGGCTGGAACCGCAACCCCCCCCACCGCACCTTCACCATTATTCCTCATGGGAAAATCACTCCCCGCTCAACGCGGATTCACTTTACGCGGCGATTTTCAGGAACGCAACCCCCACGTTGAGCGAAGACTTGCCGCAGTTGCAAGTGTACCAACCCGTGAATATCGCGACCAACGTAACCACAGTTGTCACTAACATCCGCACTGTGTAACGTGTGCACCGTCGCTGGACACACACGATATAGAGCCCAGCAGCTTATTGCGTCCTTCCTGGTGAAATAAGTAACGATCTGCCATTGCCATCATCTTGATGCTGGCAAAAAGGAGGCCCGCAGATAAATATAATATAATCTATCTAAATCTATCTGAAAACGTGCTTTCGCAGTGGGCGTTCGAGAGCCCGTGATGTGAATTCGGAAGAGAGGAGGCCACGTTGTCCCGGCGGTGTCAAGGTCCAACTTACCAAAAAACACCCACGCCGGCAAATTTTCCGAATTGGGAAAATTAATAGCGATCGTCGCTCCAGAGACTGAATCTTGATACTCGTTGAAGCTCTCCCGGGGTAAATAAATTTTAACTGAGCACACGACGTCCGACGTTTCGCTTCTCAGACTTGCAGCTTCTTCAGGAGTTCGACGGAGCTGTTTCACGTTCTCTCAATTTCACACCAAGTTTCCGGCCACCGCCGCCCGCGTCCGACGTAGTTCAGCAGCACGTGCTGCTCAGCACGAACCCACGTCACGGAGGTGACACGGCACGGCCACGACAATCGACGCAACAGCGTCATCGCGCCGCGACGTACAGTGAGGGAAAAAAGTATTTGATCCCCTGCTGATTTTGTACGTTTTGCCCACTGACGAAGAAATGATCAGTCTATAATTTTAATGGTAGGTTTATTTGAACAGTGAGAGACAGAATAACAACAAGAAAATCCAGAAAAACGCATGTCAAAAATTGTATAAATTGATTTGCATTTTAATGAGGGAAATAAGTATTTGACCCCTCTGCAAAACATGACTTAGTACTTGGTGGCAAAACCCTTGTTGGCAATAACAGAGGTCAGACGTTTCTTGTAGTTGGCCACCAGGTTTGCACATGTCTCAGGAGGGATTTTGTCCCACTCCTCTTTGCAGATCTTCTCCAAGTCATTAAAGTTTCGAGGTTGGCCTTTTTGCAAATCGAACCTTCAGCTCCCTCCACAGATTTTCTATGGGATTAAGGTCTGGAGACTGGCTAGGCCACTCCAGGACCTTAATGTGCGTCTTCTTGAGCCACTCCTTTGTTGCCTTGGCCGTGTGTTCTGGGTCATTGTCATGCTGGAATACCCATCCACGACCAATTTTCAATGCCCTGGCTGTGGGAAGGAGGTTCTCACTCAAGATTTGACAGTACATGGCAACGTCCATCGTCCCTTTGATGCGGTGAAGTTGTCCTGTTCCCTTAGCAGAAAAACACCCCCAAAGCATAATGTTTCCACCTTCATGTTTGACGGTGGGGATGGTGTTCTTGGGGTCATAGGCAGCATTCCTCCTCCTCCAAACACGACGAGTTGAGTTGATGCCAAAGAGCTCCATTTTGGTCTCATCTGACCACAACACTTTCACCAAGTTGCCCTCTGAATCATTCAGATGTTCATTGGCAAACTTCAGACTGGCATGTATATGTGCTTTCTTGAGCAGGGGAACCTTGCGGGCACTGCAGGATTTCAGTCCTTCACGGCGTAGCGTGTTACCAATTGTTTTCTTGGTGACTATGGTCCCAGCTGCCTTGAGATCATTGACAAGATCCTCCAGTGTAGTTCTGGGCTGATTCCTCACCGTTCTCATGATCATTGCAACTCCACGAGGTGAGATCTTGCATGGAGCCCCAGGCCGAGGGAGATTGACAGTTCTTTTGTGTTTCTTCCATTTGCGAATAATCGCACCAACTGTTGTCACCTTCTCACCAAGCTGCTTGGCAATGGTCTTGGAGCCCATTCCAGCCTTGTGTAGGTCTACAATCTTGTCCCTGACATCCTTGGAGAGCTCTTTGGTCTTGGCCATGGTGGAGAGTTTGGAATCTGATTGATTGATTGCTTCTGTGGATAGGTGTCTTTTATACAGGTAACAAGCTGAGATTAGGAGCACTCCCTTTAAGAGTGTGCTCCTAATCTCAGCTCGTTACCTGTATAAAAGACACCTGGGAGCCAGAAATCTTTCTGATTGAGAGGGGGTCAAATACTTATTTCCCTCATTAAAATGCAAATAAATTATAACATTTTTGACATGCGTTTTTCTGGATTTTCTTGTTGTTATTCTGTCTCTCACTGTTCAAATAAACCTACCATTAAAAGTATAGTCTGATCATTTCTTTCTCAGTGGGCAAACGTACAAAATCAGTAGGGGATCAAATACTTTTTCCCCTCACTGTACGTACATCAGTGCTGGGGAGAGGAGGGGCGGCCGAGACACGGTGCTGGAAAATCATCCTCCCCCACCCTCCCTGCACCACCACCATCGTCTGTCGTACCAGCCCCCTTGTAGGCGCTTGCCCCAACAGCTTGTGTAGGCTATTACGAGGACACTTTGCGTTCTGTCTCTCTGTGCTTCACCGCCCCTTCCTTACCTGTGGATGAGAGTCGTGTTCTCTTGCTTAATCTGCGTCTGCAGGTCGCACGTGATGACCGAGTCACTCTCCAGCTCCAGCACCTTGCTCTCCAGCAAGCTCATCTGCGCAACGCGGGGAAGCGGGCAGGGATCGTATATCAGACGGGGTCTGCCCGGGTTCCCGGCACACCACGTTCAGTGGCAGCTGCTGGTCACGCGCCCGCTTGCTCCAGTCTACCAGTCACCCGGAAAATATGTCCGCACCCGGCACACGAGGTCAAGTTTGACGCCGCTGAACGTGGGTACAATATAAAAACAACGCGATGCATTTCGCCGCACCGTGCCCTACAAGCCGACAGTTTGGGCCCTTGCGGCGGCTGTTAGCGCACACGGCGGTCGCCCCTCCGAGCAAAATCCAGGCTCCAATCTGCTTAGCTTGTGAGACCTGACGTGATTGGGTGCATCAGGGTGATTCGGTTCGACAAGGCAACGTGGTGGTGTTCATGACATTGACGGCTCCTTCTTGCGTTTGCCATCAAAGGCCTTTTTCATCCGAGTCACGTGACCACTTGGTCATCACAAACTCCATCCAGTCCAATCGGAATTCTCACTTTCCCCGTCTGTCCGTCACAAGGGAACAACCCTCAACAACACGGAGGGACGGCTCTCTGCTGCGTGGCTCCGCAGTCCCACGTGGTAACGGTGGCACGCACACCATGCCGGTGCCACATCACGGTGCCAAAACGTCCATAGCCACCACACCAGCATGCTGAGCCTGGTGCAAGACAAAATCTGCATAGCTGGTGCCCACATGCTCGTGTGGCTGATGATGGGCTGTCGAGATGTAAAGCCGAGTCCCAAACTATGGACCATGTAAACTAAACTAAAATATGTTTTTTTTTTAAACCAAGAAAGGCCCACTGAGCTATGTAGCTCTTTTTTAGAAGCAACCTGGCCACAGATGATAGCTCAACTAAGTGGCTCTTGTGGAAATTTATAGTGGCCAAATAGTCTAAACTCACGTCGATTCTAAATGTGGAGGGGAAAACCGGAGGGCCCAGAGAAAAATCCACGCGACCACGGAGAGACACGCAAGCTCCAAATATACAGCAGCAGGCGTCAGGGTCGAGATCGAACCCACAACCTCCTGTATTGCAGGCGAGGTAGTTAACATCTCGCCACCGTGGCACCCTTCAGTAAACCGCTGCAGCCTGCGCCCCTTCAACCGAGAAGGAACGGCAAAAACGACGCGAACTCCTGAAGCCCTCTCGTCGTGGCCAGCAGCAGCAGCAGCAGACCTCCACATTAGCATTTATCTCCCGAACCACAGTGCCACCATGCGCAAAAATGGAAATGGAATCTTGAGTCCCAAAAAGTGGTGACGATAAGTGACGATGCTGCTGCTGCTGCTGCCACCGCGGCCGCTGATGACTCCACTCACCCTTTGGTTGACCTCACTCCCCGTGTCTGGGCTTTCCCCAAAGAAGTCCTCCTGATTGCTGCAGCTCGCCGACTTCCTGTGTCCCCCGGGCTGCAGACGCCTGCACGGAGAAGACAAAGAGAGGACGCGTGGCAGCGTCGGGGGGGGGGGAGGGGGGGGGGGGCACGAGCCAAAGGTCAGCGACCGCAAAAGTCTTCGGGACGCCCGGGTCAGATTGGCACGTCGCGGAATAAACGTGCGAGAAAGTATCGCATTGCCCCGTCGATGCCGGGAAGTGGCGATGTTGCTGGCTGTTTTTTTTGTATGTGTCGCTACGAAGCAAAGGGGACCGCTGAGCAGGAGCGTTCACAATTTCAAAAAAGGGTGAATCGCGTCGCACTCATCGGCTCGTGAAGAAGCCAGGCGCCGCTGTTTGCAAAACAGTCGTTAACAGTGGCAGTCAGAAGCAACACCATCAAAGACAAAGACCCCCCTCTATTGCCTTTGACTGCTGGCGCAAGTGCTGTTAGCGAGTAGCGCCTATGAAGAGGGTGGGTGACCATCAGCACGCCCGGCCGCCTTTGTCTCCCCCAGTGATGTTTTACACACCGCAACCATCACATACACCATCAAACACACACACACACACCACTAAACCACACGCGTAGCCGAACCATCGCGGCTTCTCGTGCAGTCAATCCGACACAGCAATCACGCACGGCGCAATGAGAGCCCTTCCCCTCCCCCGTGTGATCACGCAGTAGCCCTCCCACCCCCCACCCCCCGAAGAGCCACTTTGAGCTTTGTGCACAGAACAAAGCCAAGGCGGAGACGTCAACCACAGCCCCCCCCCCGACCCAACAGCCCTAACCAAAATCCCACGCCTCTCAACCTGAGATGAGCTGTCCCCCCAACCCACCCCCCCTTCAGATCGCCGTAGTTACCCAGGGGGGTATCCCAGCTCGAACGCGCATCACGGCCCCAGCCCGTCTAATTGCTTTAAGTGCTCACGGCTCTGGCAATGGCATAAACCACAGCGCAGTCATCCTATACTAATGGCACCACGCAAGCGCGCGTGTATGTGCGTGCGTGTCTGTGTTTCTGCATGTGTGTGTGTATATGCGTGTGTGTGTATGCGTGTCTGTGTATGCGTGTCTGTGTATGCGTGTCTGCATATATGTGTATGTGTCTATGTGTGTGTGTGTATGTGTGTATATGTACGTGATAAAGAGCTGGTCAGCAGCGGCAAGGCCGTCTTTGTTTCATCCCATCCGCGGCACCACGAGGCCACTCCCCGTCCTCTCCCTGCTCGTGTCGCCGGCTCCCCCGGCCACTCTGTTCTCCCTGCTCCCGGCGCTGAGCATCGCAGCCTCGGCCGCTGAGGTGTGGCGGAGACGATGGGGGTGGAGGGGGAGGATGATGATGATGGTGGTGGTGATGGGGAGGGACGATGGCGATGGGGAGGGCATACGGAGTCCCGTGGCCCGTTAGAGGCCCCCTCTGGGCGAGTCGGGGTACTGCAGCGAGGCAGCGACTTTTGGTTGTTTTCGTGAACACGGCGTCGGCTTTCGCGACCAATATCATCCATAATACAGGTTTTTGTTGGGTTAGATCGCGTCAATATATAAACCCGCCACCATCCGACACAGCCAATAAGTAAGGGTTGTCACGTGAACAGAACGTGGCCAATTCGTTACTAGTACAGCACACCGGTGTGTTGGAGAGCCAAGCCACAACTGCTCGACCAACACACCGGTGTGCTGCATTAGAACAGAATTGGCATGTTCTGTTTACGGGACAACCCTTATTAATTGGCTGTCGGGTGATGGCGGGTCTAACGACACATGTATATATTTACGCGATATAATCCAAAGAACCTCTATTACCATCGCTGGTTTAATTCATCCATTGTAAGGCGAGACTCGTCCTCGCCATGCGAATGTGGAGTTTCCAACACTGGATCGCTCGTGTACAGCTTTGCCTCTTGGGTGAAGCAGTAGCGCAGTGATTTGCGTCTATGCTATGAAGCAGCACCACGGTGGTGCGATGTTAACTACCTTGCCTGGTCTACAGGAGGTCGTGGGTTCGATCCCGACCCTGACGCCTGCTGCTGTATATTTGGAGTCTGCGTGTCTCTCTCTCATTATCATCACGGTGGCTAGGAGATGTTGACTACCTTGGCTGGTCTACAGGAGGTCGTGGGTTCGATCCCGACCCTGACGCCTGCTGCTGTATATTTGGAGTCTGCGTGTCTCTCTCTCATTATCATCACGGTGGCTAGGAGATGTTGACTACCTTGGCTGGTCTACAGGAGGTCGTGGGTTCGATCCCGACCCTGACGCCTGCTGCTGTATATTTGGAATCTGCGTGTCTCTCTCCCATCATCATCACGGTGGCTAGGAGATGTTAACTACCTTGCCTGGTATACAGGAGGTTGTGGGTTCGATCCCGACCCTGACGCCTGCTGCTGCTGTATATTTGGAGTTTGCGTGTCTCTCTCTCATCATCATCACGGTGGCTTGGAGATGTTAACTACCTTGCCTGGTATACAGGAGGTCGTGGGTTCGATCCCGACCCTGACGCCTGCTGCTGCTGTATATTTGGAGTCTGCGTGTCTCTCACTCTCCGCGTGGTCGCGTGGATTTGTCTCCGGGTCCTGCGGTGTTCCCCTCCACATTTAGAATCAACATCGCGCGCTTAAGGGTATTTGCTTGCTATACACTTTCACTTGACGATAATCCACTTCGTTGAGTTGTCAATTGTGATAGTCAGGTGGCTTCTAAAAAAAGAGCTACGTACCTCAGTGGGCCGTACACCTGATAAAAAAACGTGTTGATCGTCTCCCCCCCCCCCCCAACATGCAGAATCAACACGCGTCTAGAGTATTTGGCTGCTGCGACACATTTGCACGTGGCGATAAGGTCCCTTCGTCTAGGGTATTTGGCTGCTGCGATACATTTGCACGTGGCGATAAGGTCCCTTCGTCTAGAGTATTTGGCTGCTGCGATACATTTGCACGTGGCGATAAGGTCCCTTCGTCTAGAGTATTTGGCTGCTGCGATACATTTGCACGTGGCGATAAGGTCCCTTCGTCGAGCCGTCATTTGTGATGGCCAGGTCGCTTTTGAAAATAAAAAAAACAGCGACAGTATGTGGCTCAGCGGGCCTTTACCTGATAAAGTAAAAATAAAATAAAAAATTCGGTGACACGATGACCAACGTGGAATAGCTCACAGCGTCCTCGTGCGGTGGTCGAGTGTACTCAGCACCGCAGGGTGAACAACACCGCGAGATTCCCATCCTGGTGCGGGTTACGGGGGTTGGGGGTCGGGAGGCATGCTCACAAACAAAGCCGTCTGCTCACATTTGGCTCGACACCCGTCGTGCGTTTCCTTTTTTTTTAAATAAAATAAGTTGTAAAAAAAACGAAACAAATCGTCGCCATTTACCTCGCAAACGCTTTCGTGGATATCCTCTGCCTCGGTCTGAAAACAAACAAACAAACGAAAAGTTAATTGGCATAAACTGTGTCGGAAGTGAACCCGTGAGCAACAGGCAGTAAGCAGCGGTAGCCGAGTGTCCACTTCCAAAGGGCGAAAACATTAAAGGGGCTCTCACCCGCCTGGCTGAAACAAATCTCACCAGAGCGCTGACCAAGCCTTCTAAAGCCCCCCCCCCCCATCACCATCACGCCTCCGCGCCCCCCCCCCCCCCCCCCACGACACATTCCCCTTGATCGCCCTCTCTCAAATCCGCTCCGGGATTAGGCTCCGAGCGTGCGACTGGAACGGCCTCGCGCGTCGCTTGGAGTTCGCCGAGCCGCGGCCCGCTCCCCCGGGTCTCTCTGTCACCCTCTCACCCGGTGAGGTGCAGCTGAGTGAGTCTCCTGTCGAGCTCCTTGAGCCGAGCGATCCTCTGTCGGCAGCAGAGGCAGTAGGAGCCCTCGCCCTCGTCGCCATCCTCGCCCCTCGCCCCCTGCCTCCCGCCCGGCTCCCCCGCGCTGGGGAGACAACGAGGGGGGGCACCGTTGACAGCTGCCGCCGTTCGATCGCTCGCTCGTGATGCGTGATGATGATGATGGCTGACGATGGAGGTTTGCAAATCTCTATGCAATCCATCAACCCTTTCCTCCAAAGCGCTGGATCGCAGGTGTGCATTCAGACAAAAATCATCCATATAGCCTTAACAGACTGATAGGACAAGTGCTGTTCGCGAACACCTATGAATTCCGGCACAGTACACGAAGGGATGGGTGACCAGCGACACGCCCGACCACCTTTGTCTCCCCAGTGGCGAAGTTGACACACTGCTCCAGGTACTCATGTGAGGTGTGCCCAAAAACAAACCGTGCACAAACCATTTATTGTAACCTATGGATACTAAAGTTAGCATCCATCGATTCATAAATTCGTCACATCCGTCGCGAGCAGTCAAAGCACAATCGGCGCGGCGCTCTTTCTCTCTCCGCACCTCTCACCTGGCCGGACTGGAGGTGGAGAACCGCGAGCCGTAGGACGGCGCCCGGAGCGACCAGGTGTCGCTGGCGGAGAGGTCGTGTCTCCGAGGTGCCCTCACCGCCGCCGCCGTCGCCTCCTCACCGTCGCCGCTTTCCTCAAACTCCTCCACTCCGTTCACCGCTGGGTTCGGCTCTGGACCGGTCCCGTCGGATCTCCCCCACTCTTGGTCCTCCTCGCGATGCCCCGGCACTGCGTGGTGGTAATGGCGGCGGTGGTCGCTTGCGTGATTGAGACCGCGCGTTTCAGAGGGCGCAGCCCCCGCGCCAACTTCAGAAAAGTCGCCGGCGCTGGCGCCTCCGTCCTGGGCACCGTCCGGGTCCCGTCCTCTGCCGGACGTCCGCGGCTGACCTCCATCGCCAATGCGGGGCGAGTTCCGAAGACCCTGGCGGGAACCAGACTCGAACCAGGCCTCTGGGAGGTCACCGCGACCGACGGCTCTCGGAGAATCCTCTCCTTCGCCCAAATCTCCCGTCGCGTCTCGCCGGCGGCGATCGCTGCTGCCCGTGGGTTCGGTCGATTGACTGAAATAAATAGAAAGGTTTTTTTCGTTTGTAAGCTCAGCGATTTCCAGAGATGAATATGCTCGCTACGACAATGCATTTCATTCATTCACAGGCTGGTTTCGCTTTAGTTATAATCATCATAAATCAAATTATTTACCCAGGAAAACCTCGTCAAGTCTAAAAATGTTTTTTCTTTTGTTTCAGGAGGGTCTTCCTACATTGGGATATTTGGTCAAATTCCATTCACGATTGCGTTTGGCTTCACATGCGAGGAAACTAAAGAACCCCGGGGGAACACCCATTCATGCGAGGGGGTGACGCTCCAACGATCCTAGCTCCTGGCCATCGTTCGACGGATGACCCGGTGGTCATCCGTCCGCGTAGCAACCAAGCTCCACCGAGCTTAGCTGCTCACGCCTGGTGCGGTGAGGCTATGTGTAACGTCACGGATCACCGTGCGGAGTCATTCCGTTCGACCTCAGAGGCACCGGGGCTGCTGGGTTGCTCATGGAGGTTTCATGATGGGCTTGTGTCAGGGACGCCGACTCAGGACCGCTGAGATGCTGGCCTCAAATCTGAGTCTCAGAAGCACTCAGAAAGAGAGCTTGTAGGACTTTCACAATTCCACGAACGCTCTTCGCGTTAACGTTGTGAATTTAGTGGCTGATGAAAGTAACGTGAGAAGTAGTTCTTTCAGGGTCCCCAAACATTTTCCGGGGCCATTCCCTATGACAAGGTAGTGCACTGCTCACTGCGATGGTTTCAAATGGACGTGTCTTCATGCTACATGACATGACCACTGGCTGTACAATGGAGATATAAAGAGAGAGAAACTAAACTATACTCTTTGGTTCTTTCGGTAAAGTCACGTAGGTAGAAATAAAATCAAATAAATCACGACGTTTCTACCTACTACGTGACTTTACTGAAATAACCAAAGAGTATGGATTCCTGCAGTCACAAAAGCTTCAAATCAAGATAGAGATAAACTAAATTCGATTATTATTTTTAAAGAGCCGTCCGTGAGAATGTATGCAAAAAAAAACGCACAGCACAGATTGTGATGTCGACATGTGCCATACAAAACACACAAGTACAGAACATGGAGCCCACTGCTGATTAAAAACCTCGCCTCGGCATGGAAGTTGTATGACCATACTCCACCAGGACCGGTTCAGGTATCCCTCTTCAAATATGTCTGTTCACCGTGACCTATAATCGTAAAGCTTCGGCTCGCCGGGGTTCATAGCGCAGTGCGCTCACCGCTGCACCGCCACTCTCCGCTTTGAGTCCCACCCATGTGTCTCGCCCCTGTCACCGTCACGGGCTCAGCGACGAGCCCCCGTCTAAGTTTGTGTTGGTCACGCGCCTGAAATCCGATCACCGACGGCTCTCGTCGGCGAAATCCCGATTAATCTCGGGCACGCTCGCTCGTGAAGGCGGCGTGGAGGAGGTGACAAGCTGCCAAGCCAGCCTATTAAGGGAGGCTCCGTTGTGCTACGGGATTTCACCGCGCGAAGAATTGCGTGCTGTTACGCGCGCGCAAAATGCGCGTGAGTGCGTGCGTGCATATTAACACATGCTCCCTCGTGTTCCAATATCCGCGCAATCCTTCGGACGAACGCACGCACGCACGTACGCACGCACTGATGGACATGATGTTCCCCAGGCACAGCTTCTAGTACACGACTGCCTCCGAATAAAAAATATAAAACCACACTGCAGCTCACATCAAGACACTCACTCACTCACCACACTGCAGCTCACAAGACACTCACTCACTCACCACACTGCAGCTCACAACAAGGCACTCACTCACTCACCACACTGCAGCTCACAACAAGGCACTCACTCACTCACCACACTGCAGCTCACAACAAGACACTCACTCACTCACCACACTGCAGCTCACAACAAGACACTCACTCACTCACCACACTGCAGCTCACAACAAGGCACTCACTCACTCACCACACTGCAGCTCACAACAAGACACTCACTCACTCACCACACTGCAGCTCACAACAAGACACTCACTCACCACACTGCAGCTCACAACAAGACACTCACTCACCACACTGCAGCTCACAACAAGACACTCACTCACTCACCACACTGCAGCTCACAACAAGACACTCACTCACCACACTGCAGCTCACAACAAGACACTCACTCACTCACCACACTGCAGCTCACAACAAGACACTCACTCACCACACTGCAGCTCACATCAAGACACTCACTCACTCACCACACTGCAGCTCATAACAAGACACTCACTCACCACACTGCAGCTCACAACAAGACACTCACTCACTCACCACACTGCAGCTCACAACAAGACACTCACTCACTCACCACACTGCAGCTCACAACAAGACACTCACTCACTCACCACACTGCAGCTCACAACAAGACACTCACTCACTCACCACACTGCAGGTCACAACAAGACACTCACTCACCACACTGCAGCTCACAACAAGACACTCACTCACTCACCACACTGCAGCTCACAACAAGACACTCACTCACCACACTGCAGCTCACAACAAGACACTCACTCACTCACCACACTGCAGCTCACAACAAGACACTCACTCACCACACTGCAGCTCACAACAAGACACTCACTCACTCACCACACTGCAGGTCACAACAAGACACTCACTCACCACACTGCAGCTCACAACAAGACACTCACTCACTCACCACACTGCAGGTCACAACAAGACACTCACTCACCACACTGCAGCTCACAACAAGACACTCACTCACTCACCACACTGCAGCTCACAACAAGACACTCACCACACTGCAGCTCACAACAAGACACTCACTCACTCACCACACTGCAGGTCACAACAAGACACTCACTCACCACACTGCAGCTCACATCAAGACACTCACTCACTCACCACACTGCAGCTCACAACAAGACACTCACTCACTCACCACACTGCAGGTCACAACAAGACACTCACTCACCACACTGCAGCTCACATCAAGACACTCACTCACTCACCACACTGCAGGTCACAAGACACTCACTCACCACACTGCAGCTCACAACAAGACACTCACTCACTCACCACACTGCAGGTCACAAGACACTCACTCACCACACTGCAGCTCACAACAAGACACTCACTCACCACACTGCAGCTCACAACAAGACACTCACTCACCACACTGCAGGTCAGCCACTCATTCACCCACTCATTCACTCACCCACTCACTCACCCACTTACTCACCGACTCACTCTCCCACCCACTCACCACACTGCAGGTCTCAACAATATACTCACTCACCACACTGCAGGTCATCCACTCATTCACCCACTCATTCACTCACCCACTCGCCCACCCACTCACTCACCCACTCACTCACCCACCCACTCACTCACCGACTCACTCTCCCATCCACTTACCACACTGCAGGTTGCAACAATATACTCACCACACTTCAGGTCACCCAATTATTCACCCACCCACTCACACACCCACTCACTCACCCATTTAATCACTCGCTCACCCACTCACTCACTCACCTACCCACCCACTCACCACAATTCAGGTCACCCACTCATTCACCCACCCACTCACCCACCTACCCACCCACTCACCCACTCCCTCACTCACCCACTTACTCACTCGCTCACCCACTCAGTCACTCAACGACTCACTCACTCACCCACTCACTCACCCATCCACCCACTCACTCATCCATCCACCCACCCACTCACCACACTGCAGGTCACAACAATACAGTCACTCACGACACTGCAGGTCACCCACCCACATACTTACCCACTCACTCACTTACCCACTCACTCACTCACTCGCTTACACACCCACCCACTCGCTCGCTCGCTCACACACCCACCCACTCACTCACCAACTCACTCACCCACTCACTCACCAACTCACTCACCCACCCACCCACTCACTCACTCACCCACCCACTCACTTACCCACCCACTCACCAAACTGCAGGTCACAATGCAAATAGCTCTGCTTCTTCCCTCGACCTGCTCCACTTTGGAATTCCCTCCCATCATTTTCTCCGATAATAACCTTGCTCCATTCAAGAGACGCCTGAACCCGAATACGTCTTAAAACTCTAATCGCGCTGCTTGTTTCTGGCCGCTTGGCTATTGGGGGCCTTTGGGCTCCTGAGCTCAGCAATAATTTTAAAATAGAGAATAATAAAGGCAGCGGAGCTTCGGATCGGTCGCTCGTTCCCAGCGCCCAAGGTGACCCCGCTCCGGCAACCCCGCCAGCTTCAAAGCCGCTGTCTGCTTTCACTGCAGCAGCCACGAGGTCACGTCGCGGAAAGACGCCAAAGTCGCGGATGTTGTTCGCCAAACAATTGCCGTGCTTGTGAAAACACACTCGTGCGTGCGTGCGTGCGTCCAACTATTTTGCCGAGTCAGCCCCGAAAGGTGACCCCAAGTCGTGGTTTGAGACGCGCTCAAGTTAATACAATAGGCCGAGTTCAATTAACGTACAAAATTCACGCCACGGTGAACTCACCGAATAAATAACAGTTCGATTTGAGGTGGTTTTCTAAAGTCAGTGAGAAGTCTTTGTAAATAATGAATGGACCTGTCTCCTCCCTCCACCGATCGGCACTGCATGAGCGTGGCGCAGTACGGTGAGTCAAAGCTCCCCCGCACAATCGACACGGAGGACCCGGTCGAATTGAGGAGCTGCCGGGTCGGGACGTCAGGGCGGACAACTCGCGGCACAGAAACACGACGATCGCGGAGCGCGCCACAGCACCGCCGCCAAAGACAGAGACAAAGATCCCCCGTGTAGCCTATACCAGACTGTCGGGGCAAGTGCTGTTAGCGAGCAGCTATGAAGGCCGGCACGGCACACGAGGGGGTGGGTGGCCAGCACCACGTTCGTAGCGCAGCGCGCCGACCGCGACACCACCATCGCCACCGCCACCATGAAAACCTCGCCGCATGAGTTAATCAATGAATAGAACTCGCCTTGCATCAGAGGGGAGCGGCGCCTCGCCCCCCACGCCGCGCCCGCCCGGCACATCGCGGCTGCCATCGACCGCGGCGGCGGACGAAGCCCTCGACAAGTAACCTGCGTCCGGCGCGTGGCGGCCTGGGAGGTCGCCGCGACCGACGCGAGCGCCAACGCCGGGTTGGCTCCCCGACCCCGGCGGGGTGGAGGCGGTCGCGTCGGGCCCCGGCGTTCCACCGTGTCGGGGCCGGTCCCCGCAGACGGGGCCCGCGCCCCCCTCCTCCTCCTCCGCCCCCGGGAGTCCAAGCTCCGCGTGCGAGGGCGAGGCGGATTCGCCACCCATCTGCAGGTAGCCGAAGGCGTCTCCCAGGTCGGCGGGGGCTCTGGACTCGAAGGCGTCTCCCAGGTCGGCGGGGGCTCTGGACTCGAAGGCGTCTCCCAGGTCGGCGGGGGCTCTGGACTCGAAGGCGTCTCCCAGGTCGGCGGGGGCTCCGGACTCGGCGCTCGCCGCCTTGCGGCTGTGCCGCGGACGGCGGTCGTGATCCTTCGGATGCTCCTCCTGACAACAATAATACGAGTAATTTATTATTATTGTTATATCTATTATTTAGATTTACGAGCCGTGAGAGATCCACGACTGGTTGAATGACTCACGAAGCCATCGCGATGTACTTTGCACGCGCTTCACTTTCTCTTCAATGCTGTAAATGCTCATCAAGACGTTTTTCAGTTCGAGCAAACGTGAACAGAATGTGCAAAGTGAACAATTAATAAGGACAAATCACGAGTTGGTCAGACTGAGCAGTGTTCAGCAAGCCGCCTCAACCACCGTCACGGCGCACGGGAAGATGGTTTTATTTGGCTACACGTTTCTGTGTGCACGTGTGTGTGTGCACATGTGTGTGTGCACATGTGTGTGTGCACATGTATGTGTGCACATGTGTGTGTGTGTACATGTGTGTGTGTGTGTACATGTGGGGAGCGGTAGTGTAGCGGTTAGTAGGCTGTGCTATGAATCCAGCGAGCAGAGTTCCGATTCCCGCTCATGGCCAATACCAGTGACGGTCGTGGGTCTCCCCAAGGTCGGCTCAGCCTCAAATGAGTACTTGGTGCGGTGTGTAAATGTCGCCACCATGAAGACAAAGGCAGCCGGGCATGGTGCTGGCTACCTACCCCCTCTTGTGCTGTGCCGGCCTTCATACAGTGAGGGAAAAAAGTATTTGATCCCCTGCTGATTTTGTACATTTGCCCACTGACAAATAAATGATCAGTCTATAATCTTAATGGTAGGTTTATTTGAACAGTGAGAGACAGAATAACCACAACAAAATCCAGAAAAACGCATGTCAAAAATGTTATAAATTGATTTGCATTTTAATGAGGGAAATAAGTATTTGACCCCTCTGCAAAACATGACTTAGTACTTGGTGGCAAAACCCTTGTTGCCAATCACAGAGGTCAGACGTTTCTTGTAGTTGGCCACCAGGTTTGCACACATCTCAGGAGGGATTTTTGTCCCACTCCACTTTGCAGCTCTTCTCCAAGTCATTAAGGTTTCGAGGCTGACGTTTGGCAACTCGAACCTTCAACTCCCTCCACAGATTTTCTATGGGATTAAGGTCTCGAGACTGGCTAGGCCACTCCAGGACCTTAATGTGCTTCTTCTTGAGCCATTCCTTTGTTGGCTTGGCCGTGTGTTTTGGGTCATTGTCATGCTGGAATACCCATCCACGATCCATTTTCAATGCCCTGGCTGAAGGAAGGAGGTTCTCACCCAAAAATTTGACGGTACATAGCCCCGTCCATCGTCCCTTTAATGCGGTGAAGTTGTCCAGTCCCCTTAGCAAAAAAACACCCCCAAAGCATAATGTTTCCACCTCCATGTTTGACGGTGGGGATGGTGTTCTTGGGGTTATAGGCAGCATTCCTCCTCCTCCAAACACGGCGAGTTGAGTTGATGCCAAAGAGCTCCATTTTGATCTCATCTGACCACAACACTTTCACCCAGTTGTCCTCTGAATCATTCAGATGTTCATTGGCAAACTTCAGACTGGCATGTATATGTGCTTTCTTGAGCAGAGGGACCTTGCGGGCGCTGCAGGATTTCAGTCCTTCACGGCGTAGTGTGTTACCAATTGTTTTCCTGGTGGCTATGGTCCCAGCTGCCTTGAGATCATTGACAAGATCCTCCCGTATAGTTCTGGGCTGATTCCTCACCGTTCTCATGGTCATTGCAACTCCACGAGGTGAGATCTTGCATGGAGCCCCAGGTCGAGGGAGAATGACAGTTATTTTGTGTTTCTTCCATTTTCGAATAATCACACCAACTGTTGTCACATTCTCACAAAACTGCTTGGCAATGGTCTTGTAGCCCATTCCAGCCTTGTGTAGGTCTACAATCTTCTCCCTGACATCCTTGGAGAGCTCTTTGGTCTTGGCCATGGTGGAGAGTTTAGAATCTGATTGATTGATTGTTTCTGTGGACAGGTGTCTTTTATACAGGTAACAAGCTGAGATTAGGAGCACTCCCTTTAAGAGTGTGCTCCTAATCTCAGCTCATTACCTGTATAAAAGACACCTGGGAGCCAGAAATATTTCTGATTGAGAGGGGGTCAAGTACTTATTTCCCTCATTAAAATGCAAATAAATTTATAACATTTTTGACATGCGTTTTTCTGGATTTTCTTGTTATTCTGTCTCTCACTGTTCAAATAAACCTACCATTAAAATTATAGACTGATCATTTCTTTGTCAGTGGGCAAACGTACAAAATCAGCAGGGGATCAAATACTTTTTGCCCTCACTGTAGGTGCTCACTAACAGCATTGGCCCAAACAGTCTGTTAAGGCTATATGGGGGATGTTTGCATTTGTATGTATGCGTACGTGTGTATATGTGTAAGTGTGTATGTATGTATGCGTGGCCGTAAAGTGCACCTGGCCTGGCATAGGCGCCGTGGTGACGTCATCATCACTTAGTGGCGAATGGCCGGTGTTGGCATTGGTGTGTATGCATGCGTGTGTGCACGTGTGTGTCTACGCGCGTACGTGTGTAACGACTGATCTCTGATTCACGCGACAAAGGGAAGAAGGGGGGAGGGTGATAACTGGGACGGGGGTGGAAGGGGTCAAAGATCTGGGGACAATCACGCTGGGACGGGGGTGGAAGGGGTCAAAGATCTGGGGACAATCACGCTGGGACGGGGGTGGAAGGGGTCAAAGATCTGGGGACAATCACGCTGGGACGTAACTCGTCATCCGCAGAGGAGAGGAGGAAGGTCTGATGTCTGGAGGCAAAGAGGAGGAGGATGAAGAGGAGGAGGAGGAGAGAATCGGCAGTTGTAGAAAAAGGAGCCGCACAGGAGAGGGAGCGACCTCCCACTGCTGCCACTGCTGGTGCTGCTCCCGAGTTGTGACGCTCGTCTCCTCGTCGGGTAGCGTCTCCGTCTCGCTGGGCGCACTCTCCGAGCCCAGGTACGCGCTGTCCGTGACTTCCCCCACCTGTGCAGGGGGGTGGAGGGGGGGTGCGGACGAGGAGTCAGTAGGAAGTCACGGGCTCACAGAGACACACTGGGATAAAGAGACACACAGGGTATCGGGGACACACGGGGACATAGAGACACACGGGGACATAGAGACACACTGGGATAAAGAGACACACGGGGTATCGGGGACACACGGGGACATAGAGACACACGGGGACATAGAGACACGCGGGGACATAGAGACACGTGGGGACACAGAGACACACGGGGTCTCGGTGACACACGGGGACATAGAGACACACGGGGACATAGAGACACACGGAGACACAGAAACACACGGGGTCTCGGGGACACAGAAGGACACAGAGCCACTGGGGGTCACGGAGAGACGAGGTGAGGTCACATCCTCACACGGAGTCACTTAGGCACGGTGCTAGATGTGGTTCCCGGCCACTGATGTCAGCTGTGGCCGGGAACCAAAATTAGGTTTCATAAGCGGAATGCGCTAACCACTGCGCCACCGCTCCACCCCTGCTTAATTCGTGTTATTGTTGATTATTATTTTGTACACAAGCATCACTGCACTGGGAAAGCACAATGCGATCCTCTGAGCAACGCGAACCTGAACTGCCGGATCGTGTTTAACATCGTGAATTGTGTATGAGAAGTCACGTTGGCGGATTCACAGGGAGGGAAGGAGAGACACTGCAACGTGGGCAGTGCTCGTAACGGTCTCATCAACATTAACATTCGGGATGATGCCACTTGTTTACCTGGGAGAGCCTCGCCGAGTCTTTAAACTCCCGTACTCTGGGGCGGCAGAGTGGCGCAGTGGGAACGCATTCACTGCAAGAAGGACCTGCGTCCGATTGCCGAATCAGGTCCTTGCTATGATGTGGAGTTTGCATGTTCTTCACCTGTTCCGCGTGGGCTTCCTCGGGCCTCTGCGATGCTTTCCAATAGCTAAAAGCACACCCTACCATCATCGGTGTTGGCCAAATATCTCAACGTGGCATGACCCTCCTGATAAAGACACATTGTATGCAATGTATGCACGTGCACGTGCCGTACGTTGAACTGCTTTCGCACCGTACGTAGCCAACCACGCTAATCGGAGGTGCGGGTAAGGGACAACTCACTAAACACATAAAGCAGTTCTAAAGAAATGAGTTGTGACTTTCCTGGGTAACTAAGCAGTTACAGTATGAATATTTTCTTCTAAATTGAAAACTCATTTCTAAATTGAAAACTAATTTCTTTAGAACAGCTTTTTTACGTTCAGTTTGTTGTCCTTCCCCCTCATCTCCGATTAGCACGGTTGGATATGTACGGTACAAAAAAGTTCAACATACACACATACATTTAGGGTCCTATTCCATTGGAATGGTTGGTCAGATTATGAAAGAAAGTTTTGCTTTCTTGTAGAAGGAAAGTGGAGAACCTGGACACAAAACAGCATGCATACGAGGGAGTGAACACTCAAAGTTCTACACAGGCAGATTCATAAACCCACTTGCTGTACTGCTGCTACCTCCTTGCTACCTTACAAGCCCTGGGGTTTCAAAAATATATGCCACGTGTGTGAAATCTCCCTGACTTTGCACTATGCAGCCCCCTGAAAACGCTGGAACCACACTTCCATAATAATCCATTTGCTGTATCTCTATATTCGTGCAAGTTGTACGTAGCGTACGCCAGGCAGTGGGGGCTATGCATGTCTATAATCCACCACTGTGGAGGCAGTAAAGTGTGGACCCATATCAACTGTCCCTTCTGTATGGGATAGAGTGTTGCCCCCTTGCATTAGTAATGATGACTTGACACACTTCTCTTGAGATGGCACTCTATTGAAGACACGTTCACTTGACATCGGGCGGAGATCCCCACCGCAACAGCCCCGAGTTGCCCACGCATCTCCCTTATATATCAACACGAGGCCACGCCCCCCTTCCCGAACCTTCTCGCTGAATCTGGACGCTCCCTCCACCGGCAGACTCCTGTCAGTACCTCCCATGGCCACTAGGGCATTCGCAATGTAGGCTGACTCCCCTGTCAGTACCTTCCGTGGCCACTAGGGCATTCGCAATGTAGGCTGACTCCCCTGTCATTACCTCCCGTGGCCACTAGGACATTCGCAATGTAGGCTGACTTCCCTGTCAGTACCTCCCATGGCCACTAGTCCACTCACACCGCATGCAGGCTCTATTGTGCGTGGATTGTCTCTGAGTGCTCCGGTTTCCTCCCACATGCATAAAGAAACACTCAATCATTGACTGAAAAAATCTTAACATACGGAGGACTGCAGAGCTTGGGCTATTGTTGGTAGTGCCAGGTCACCACTGTCTTTCGGCTTGCTTGTGGTTCCTTGTCGATTGTGACCCACGATTTGCACGAACAAAGACGCAGCACATAAAATGAGACGCGATTAAACTCAGCATTATTATGACTGGTTCACGAGATTCCTGCACACGCCAGTGGCCACTACACTCACCTCGACATAAAAACAACTCATAGACTCTCGAATCGAATCAGGACCACGAATGGCAGCGTGAAAATGCACCGAATCGCTGAAGTTGGTGGCGTAGGCAAGGGGGGGGGGACTAGTCTATGCCAATCGTTCAAGCGCAAACAGGCGATGTAATAACAAGGTGGTTACCTCATCCCAGTCCGGGCCAAGGCCCCCGTTGTAGCCATCACGTCGACCATCATCATCATCATCGCCATGATCACAATCCTCGTCATCCCCATCATGATGCTCCTTATCTGCCAGATGTGCGGTTCCACCTGCTGCAGAGAAACCACACCACGGCATCACTCCTCACCACCATGTGGGAAACCGCACCACCACGACATCACTCCTCACCACCATGTGGGAAACCGCACCACCACGACATTACTCCTCACCACCACGTGGGAAACCGCACCACGGCATCACTCCTCACCACTACGTGGGAAACCGCACCACTAAATAAACTCATTCGTACGAAAAGTATTTGCTTAACATGTTGTCGGCGCATTGCGTTATGGGTAGAACCGTGAGAGGGAGGTCATTAAACCCGTGATTAAAAAATCGACTTCGTGATGCATTCCTCTGGGCGAGTTATCTTACGCCCTGGAGTGCATAACAAAGATCACCCCATCATGGGGTAAGTAATACGACACCACTCCACGTGGTCATAGCACACCACCACGTGGTAGGTAATATGACCACACCACTACTACACGTGGTTATACCACCCCACCACGTGGTAGGTAATATAACCATACCACTACTACACGTGGTTATACACCCCACCACGTAGTAGGTAATATGACCACACCACTACTACACGTGGTTATACCACCCCACCACGTGGTAGGTGATATGACCACACCACTACTACACGTGGTTATACCACCCCACCACGTGGTAGGTAATATGACCACACCACTACTACACGTGATTTTACCACCCCAAGCACGCGGCTAGGACACACAGCTAAGTTGTTTAACACTGCTGTGAAATCATGACATACAGATTCTCAATGCTTTCCACCTCCACGCGGTTTAAACGAAAACAAATTCGGTAATCCCCTGCACACACTCTCGCCATGCGACACGGCGAATGCCTCTCTCTCCACGCCTAACCAATCATGGGAGTTGTTTGTCCATACTTCACCATACGGGTCAGCGCATGTTGGTGAAGGCAGTGCCGGATTAAGCTAGTGCGGGGCCTGTAGCATATGTTATAAAGGGAGCCTAAATAAATAAACACGTAAATATTAAAACACAAATTGTTAACTTGCACAGTAAAGTAATTGTATTTTTTTCATTTGCTATACAGCCAGATAATACGACAAATCGCTAACCTTAAACACCCGGTCGTTCATAAAAGTTGAAGGCAGTATAGTGCTATAGTAATTCGGGAAGTGCAGAATCACTGCACTGGAATTGATAGCTTGAAAGCATTTAGCGCGGGGTCCTTGAAAGTGCGGGGCCCGTAGCTACTACATAGTAGCTACTACATAGTAGCTATGTAGTAGCTACTATGTAGTAGCTACTATGTCGTAGTAGCTGCTATATATGGGTGGTGGGAGAGTACCCAGGACAGGTTCACACTTCGCTCACCACTGCTGTTAGCCGTGGGTCAATCATTGAGCCCAGCAAAGGCAGACTGTTAAAGCGGAGAGCGCTAACCACTGCGCCACTGATCCGCTCCCATTGTTGTTAAGGTTTCGCATAAATCCACGTCACGTGGATTCCACGGAGCGAGCTTGCTGTCTGTGACATGTGCTGAGATTTGACACTGAGCCCCCCGCAGTCTACCTTGGCACACACACACACACGCGGCCACAGAAAGACAAAGATCTCCCGTAAAGCCTTGAGTAGACTGTTCGGGCAAGTGATGTTAGCGAGCGCCTTTTAAGGCCGACGCGACTCGCAGCTCGATGCTGTGGTCTCCAACACGCCCAAGCCGCACCCGTATACCCTGTTCCTACCGATGTTTACACATCACACCGGGTGCTCATTTAAAGTTGAATCAACCTACGCTCCCGGCCCACGACGGGTTCTGATAGAACTTATCATCATCATCATCATTATGTTTGTCGTGGCCGGGAATCAAACTCAGGACGCCGGGTTAACATCGCACAGCGCACTAACCACTGCGTCAACCACTGCGCCACCGCTCCCATTTAAAAGTACATGTTCGTGTATATATACATACACACGCACACAATGCTTTAAAGGTCATCTGTGTGTGCGTTATGCAATCGCATCGCCTGGAGACGACGCGAATCGCAGCCTCCGGGGTTGATGAGACACGGACGGCGGCGAGCGAGAGAACTCATTTCACGAAATCTAAAAAAAGTATTCCACCGAAGTGCCCCCCTGCCTGCCTTACCGCCCCCCTCTGGGCGTGACAAGAGTGGCCGCGCTGCTGGGCAGTCGAGGGGCAGTCGAGGGGCAGCCAAGAAGAGAGGGGGGGGGGGTTCGCCCAGCAATAACAATAACACGAGAAATAGAAGAACATGAAGAGGGCCCTTGGGGCGAGGAGGAGGAGGAGGGTGGGGGGGGTTAAGGCTGGGTGGGGGCTCCGTGAGAGTGCCGAGTTTGTCGATGAGGGTGAGGGGGAGTGCCCGCGTGTGATGGTTCATCAGGGTTGAGGATCGGCCGTATGGCGAGGGTTGCTGGTGATGGTTCGTCGAATATTCTCAAGGTATTATTGTCAAACTATGTTTTTTGTTGTTGTTGGTATTTTACCAGGTCAGGCCTCAACTGAGCGCTGTAGCTCTTTTTCCAGAAGCGGCCTGGCCACACTTCGAAGTTGGCTTCTCGTGTGGAAATTCATAGCAGCCAACGCATGTTTCTGAATGCGGAGGGGGGGAAAAACTGGAGCACGGGCAAAAAAACATGCAAACTCCGAATATATACAGGCGTCAGGGTCGGGATCGCACCCAATGATTCCTGTATACCAGGCGAGGTAGTTAACATCTCCTAGCCACCCTCTAGATGGCCAGGGTCAGTGGGCAGGGTTGATGCTCGTGGTTTGTTGTCCAATTAGGGTTAGGGTCAGTGACAGGGCTTGTACAAGTGGCTGGTTGGCTAGTTAATTGTAGCTAGATTTAGGACTAGAGTCTGACTGGCTAGTTAATTGTAGCTAGAAGTAGGACTAGTACTAGAGGCTGTTTGGCGAGTTGATTCTTGTTAGAGGTAGGGCTAGTGCTCGTGGCCGATTGACGAGTTGGTTATGGGTAGCGATCGTGTTTTGTTGGTGAACTGGTTATGGATGGGGGTTGGTGGAATGGCGAGTACTCGTGCCTACGCTACACACAACACGATTAGTACGATGAATGTCTGGGAGGGATGTTTGCTGTGTGGGTGCGTGCTCTGGGACTCGCAGCGTGAACACTCGAAATGTGTGTTATGTCTCTGCCTGCTCTGTGTTAGAACAACAGTGCTAAGGGGTGGTGCAATTATCTACAGGGTGTTTGTGTATTCATGTGGGTATGTTTGTCTTGTGTGAGGAGCGGTGGCGAAGCGGTTAGCGCGCTGCGCTACGAACCCGGCGACCCGAGTTCGAAACCCGCTCACGGCCAGCACCAGTGACGATTATCTGCACCGGTCTTCGGCCTCGCTTCGGTCGACTCAGCCTCAAATGAATACCTTGGTGCGGCTATGTGGGGAGACAACGGCGGTCGGGCGTGGAGATTTACAGCAGCCAAATAATCCAAACGCACGTTGTTGCTAAATGTGGAGGGAAAAACCACCGGAGGAGCCGGAGAAAAATCCACGCGACCACGGGGGGAGAGACACTCAAACTCCAAATATACAGCGGGGGTCAGGTTCGGAATCGTACTGTATACTTGGCGAGGTGGTTAACATTTCCCTATACGGGGGATCTTTGGTTTAATTGTGATACCAAGGCGTCTTGCTGCTCATGCTCACAGCCACTGCTCATCACGGCGGGATCCAGTCCGCCCATATCACAACCAACCGATAATTTCCCACAAAGTTACAGTTAAAACGTGGCTCGGTCGTAATAATACTCATGATGAAATAGGCCGAGCTGTCACGCATAGTATTTTACGTATTTAATTTTAGTGATTTGCTCGCCTTTCCTATACTTTACACTCTGATAGTTGTTTTTAAATCTGTTGTTGTAACTTTCTGACCCGCCCCCTATTGGAAGATAAAGAGTTTCTTAGCTCATCTGATTTCTCCAGGATAAATGTAAGTTTCTGACAAGAACAACAAAATCCTCTGATTCTGAGAAGGGGATAGAGAGAGAGAGAGAAAGAGGCGAGACTGGAGCGTCCAGGGCACCGTAGCTGTCGTGATGAACGAGCGAGGCAAGCACCCACGCCGCGCGTTCAAACAAGCACGTCGGTGAGAGAGAGAGAGAGAAAGAGCGAGATAGCCGACGACCGAGATGGTTAACCTTACGCCAATGAAACCACACGACGTCACTGAACGGCGCCCAGAAACGAAACCGGCGCGAGAGGTTCGTGGGTAAGAATTTGCGTGGGCATCCTTATCGACGGGGCGCACATTACCCGCAGGCAACGCCGTGATGCATTGGCCACAAGGGGTGGAATATTTTCCCCAACGATTGCTGCTCCGTTGAGAAATGCTTTCACGATGCTGCGTAAAGCGACGTCTTCGCTTGCATTTGGCTCTGCCACAGCGTAAGCATCAGACGTCTCTCCGTTTAAGAACACAGACAACTGTGTGTATAATTTCCACACTGGTATGCTATACACTTTATTTAGCTATGACGCATGCCACTTTTGAACTAAACTGCCGAGACATAATATACATGAATAATATACATGTCCCCCCGCACCTCCGATTAGCAGGGTTGGCCATGCACGGTGCGAAAGAAGTTCAACATACATACATTGCGGGAATACAAAATAAACAAATCTTTTTGGAATTTTTTTTTCCCCCCGTAGTGATGGAAGGGGTAATTGCCGAGAAAAGTTGCAGGTTTATTTATAAAATGCCGTGTGCACTCTGCTCTTGTTGGGAATGTGACTTGAACGGTTTCTCACTACTGTGCTGTTGTATAAATAAACAAACAGGTAGCAGAAGTTGGTGAGTGAACACCCACGTGACCACATGCACGCACTATCGCATGTACGAACACAAATGCACATATTCACATGAACACACACTAATGAACACACACTAAGGCTTACTAATGAACAAACATGAACACATATACAAGCACTCATACAAAATGACAAAGATCCCCCGTATAGCCTGTAATCGACTGTTGGGGCGAGTCCTATTAGCGAGTACTTCAA